GTTGTGCGAATTTTCAAGTTCTGAATGAAACCATGAGTGTTTTGTTGAGCAAATCCGAAGGCGTGTACCTGCAAGCTTTGTACTGACGAGTGCATTCACGTTCATTAGCTGTGCGCTCAGAGCACCGCTGTCCTCTCAAACTGTAACATTCCTCTCTCAAACATTTTGGCACAAAATTAACTCCATATCTCCCTCTTTTACCTTAACTAGGCGGGAACTGGGGACATCAGGACAGCACCTGTCTTTTTCTAATGGATTCCTTTTTAATGGATGCAGTGTTTACATGTAGGTTTGTTTTGTTAATATGAATTAATGTAAATTAATGTTTATTGTGTTTAGTCAAATCTGTGTTGGATGTATATTGTGAAGTATAAAGCATTTTTTCTTTTACTTTTTTTGTTAAATACTTCCATTTTAGAATGTCTGACTTGATTATTTTCTGTTTCAGTTAAACTGTCCTTTGGTTATGCCATTTCTTTTAAGTCATCGATTTCATCATGCAATAAAGGTGCACCTTGCTTTGCCTTTGTGCTGTTTATTGGTTTTCTTTTTAAAGATAAAGCATCTCATGGATCTGACTATTTAACTAACTCACTAACTAACTCACCAACTAACTAACTAACTCACTCACTCACTCACTCACTCACTCAGTCATTCACTCACTCACTCACTCAGTCATTCACTCACTCACTCACTCACTCACTCACTCACTCACTCAGTCATTCACTCACTCACTCACTCAGTCATTCACTCACTCAATCACTCACTCACTCACTCACTCACTCAGTCATTCACTCACTCACTTACTCAGTCATTCACTCACTCACTCACTCACTCACTCACTCACTCACTCACTCACTCAGTCATTCACTCACTCACTCACTCAGTCATTCACTCACTCACTCACTCACTCACTCAGTCATTCACTCACTCACTCACTCAGTCATTCACTCACTCACTCACTCACTCAGTCACTCACTCACTCACTCACTCACTCAGTCATTCACTCACTCACTCACTCACTCACTCAGTCATTCACTCACTCACTCACTCAGTCATTCACTCACTCACTCACTCTCTCAGTCACTCACTCACTCACTCACTCAATCACTCACTCACTCACTCACTCACTCACTCAGTCATTCACTCACTCACTCACTCACTCATTCACTCACTCACTCACTCAGTCATTCACTCACTCACTCACTCACTCACTCAGTCATTCACTCACTCACTCACTCAGTCATTCACTCACTCACTCACTCAGTCATTCACTCACTCACTCACTCACTCACTCAGTCACTCACTCACTCACTCACTCAGTCATTCACTCACTCACTCACTCACTCACTCACTCACTCACTCACTCAGTCATTCACTCACTCACTCACTCAGTCATTCACTCACTCACTCACTCAGTCATTCACTCACTCACTCACTCACTCACTCACATTTAACAGGCTGAAGATTCTTAGCTTTGTCATTTTCATCAGTTTTCAGTAGTGCTTCAAAACATTGTGTGTTTTTGTATTTGATAGCCTGTACAATATTTCTGTGTTTTCCCCACTCTTTAAAATAACAGTTCTTTATAGCGATGCCACTGAAAAAACACTTTTGGTCCCTTAAAGAACTTTTCAACAGATTGTTCTTTAAATACTTGTTTTAAAAATGGGTTGTGTGAGTGTCAAGAACCTTTTTTGCAAGTTTACAGAACCTCAACATAATATAAAGGTTCTATACCGCCATAGACGAATATTTCATTTCACTGGTGAGGGGGAAAATAAACAGAAAAAATTCTTCAATTCCTGAAGGGGGCACCAAAGGGGGTTTAGGGCATAGATGTAAACACATGGATGCTGCATTGTCTGTTGTTTTCTAGCTGATGTGTATGCTAGCACATCCACCATGTTTGAGCGGTCCAGATCTGCTTATAAACAAATACATGTGTACTGAGATGAGTTTTCATGATCAAATTGGCCATAACTTCCTTATTAATCAACCAATTTTCACCAAACTTGTTTTGTTATAGTCTTCAGGCTTAGATTGATCTAGATTGTTCTTGCTCTCGGTAGCTTTTGTTTCTATTTCATAACTGTGAACTTTGATCCCTTTACATGCCTGGCTGAACCCAACATGGCTTTTATGTATTTCTATGGTTTGGGGATGGTAGGCACTGGACCAAACCATTGTGAGGCATATGAAGGGGGGATGCAATCTTTCGAAAATGGAAAAAAAAAAATTACATCTATAATTAGCAGTTCTTTCAATGCATATTATTAAATTATTTAAAATTAGATAGTTTACAGTGATAAACATAACTATAATTTCTGCCTATGTATACCAATTATACGTTTCTCCTAGGACATTTAGAAATCTCTTTTTAAGAGTATTCTCCACTTCTCGTCACCACAAACATGAAAGGAGATTTGAAAGGCTTTTAAATCAAACACAAGCATAAAACAGTAATTTGATTTTTTTTTAGAAGTCAACCACTAGATATTTAACATAGCTTACTATTTTAATTAATTACACAGTAATTACTATGTTACTATAATAAGTGAAGTTTTATAATAAGTTTTTTTCAGGTTCAGGCTGATGGTTAAGACACTTGGCTTTAACTGTGCCTCAGACAGAAAGTAGATGTCAGTTGTTAAAACATCTGTTGAATATGCATATCAGTATTCATAATGTACTTTGAATGAGTTAATAATACAAACGTATCATATCATATCATAAATATTCTCCAAAGTATTTTTTGCTGGCTCTCTGATGAAGATTCAGAACATGACATCCATTACTTACCTAAAAAATCTTAAAAGTTCACTCATCAGACCACAATACAGTCAGATGAGCTCAGGCCCAGAGAAATCGGCAGTGTTTTCGAACGTTATTGACATTATGTCAATAATGTCTTCTTTTTCACTTAGGTTTCTTCTTCTACACTTCTTCGGATATTGTTGACTTCTGCTGTGCAAAGTATTGTCTAACCTTATATTTACGGATGAAGCGTCGGGAGCTGTTATAGTCTGTAGCTGCATTTATAATACCACCGGAGTTTGAGGAGTGGGTGAATGCTCCCCTGAATGAAACCACAGATGATAAAATATAAATTCATGGCTGTAACCCCAGAAGCCTAAGCCAGGTAACATCCCTGTTCCTGTTTACTTAGGTTTCTTCTTCTAATTAATATTCATTTTGGTGTCTTCATCATCTTCTTTATTGCTTAGGTTTCTTCTCTTCCTTCTTCTTCCTTTCGGTATATTTTTCTTATTCTCTGCATCCGCCTCCTCCTTCGTCTTTTTCATTTTCTTGTTTTTTTTCTTTTTCTTTCTGTTTTTTTTGGCACTCAGGTTTCTTCTTCACTTGGGTTTCTTCCCAGTTTTCATTATAGTCTTCTTTTTCTTCAGTTAGGTTTCTTTTTCATTGTTTCTTCTTTCATCATTTCTTCTTTGGGTTAATTCATACTCACATTTAGGTTTATTTTTTGTTTTCTCTCCTAGAGTTTCTTCTTCTTTCTGGTTTCTTCTCCTTTTTTGCTTAGGTTTCTTCTTTTTTCATCTTTTTCTTCTTGTTTTTTTTTAACTTAAGTTTCTTGTTTTACTTATTCCTGTTCACCTGGGCTGCCTCCTCTTCTTCACTTAGGCATTCATGTTCTTCTAGTCCACTTAAGTATATACTTCTTCACTTAGGTATTTTCTTCTCCTCCTTTTTCTTCATTTAAAGCTTTTTTATACTTAGGTTTTTTCTTCTTCACTTAAGTTTCTTCTTAATTGTCTTCACTTATATTCATGTTTTTTAATCACATAGTTTTTTTCTTTTACTGCCAGGCCTTTAATACAAAGTAACTGCGTGAACCAATAGAATCTTCAGATCCTCAGTATATAGTAGAATAAATTTCATTTTCTATTCACCTCTAATGTACACAACTCTGCTTCCTCACAAATTTCACAAAACCTGGCCACTTCAGCTGCCAGAGGCAATATGAGTTACAGTTAAACACATGAGCACCTTGGTTTGAGCTGAAGGGAACTGAAATAAAAGCTTCAGCTCTGACAGTGCTTACGTTATTGTTTCCTCTTCTTAAGGTTTAATGTTAATGACAATGCAGAATAGCCCCTATTAGCCACTATTTTCTTCTGTTTAAGCCACTATAGTGCAGCTCTGCTTGTGTTTTTTCAAAGATTCAATATAAAATCTAGAATTCAAAGAATTAAGATGTGCCTAGAATATGAAACAGAGCTGTAAGTGATTCCAAATTTTACTGAGAAAGCATCAAGACTGATGATACAAAGTTCTAAAACTTTGAGTGTGGATTATTTTAATCTACACTGTCTCAGTTATTGATAAATGAAACAACAAAAAGATTAAAACAAATAAACATGTGAAAAAAGTGATCACCTGTAAACACATGGTTTTTGCACACACATATGAAATAGATTTGACTTTTCTGTAAAGGTTGACATACCGAGAGAGACAAAAAAAAAAACATGTTCAATTCAGCAAAGAACAGTAATTGTTTACTAAAATGCAGAAGTGTGTTCTCTGAAGAGGATGTAACTTATTATTAGAAAATCAACAGTACATATCATTCGGTGCCCAAACATTTGCATACACCTGTCTGCTTTTATTTACAACTGATTTTCATTCATAGATTTATAGCAAAGTATGAAATCACACCTGGGTATTCACTACTGACAGTGCTCTAATCTGCTGTGTGAACAGGAGGAATTTCTTACAGTGTGCTAACAGGCTGCAGGCGACTGGCAAAATGCATTTTTTTCTTCATCATACCGGGAAATTCAGACGTTCTATTTGGGACACACATACCGCCTGTGTAAGTTCCTTCCAGTATTGAGACACAGTTGGCTCACAACCTCTATCATGCACGCGCACACGTCACATGCATAAACACACACACACACACACCTCGTCATTTTATGTACTAAGACGGGCAGTGAAATGGGGCTGTGGTTGGCAGGTCTGAGCAGAAGAGAAGGAGAAGAGTGAAGGCGTGAGGGGGAGATTACTCTGAAGGCAAAAGGGGAAAACAAGTGATAAGCAAGAGGAGAAGCGGGTAAAAAGCCAGTGGATAGACATAGACATCAGCTTTAGGGTAAGAAGATTTTTCCGATAGTTCTGCCTCATGTTTGCTTTTAATTTCTCACTGAAACAAGTTTCTCTGTATCTGTGTGAGTGTGAGCCTTTAATGACTTCTCTGTAGACTCTCAAAACACTGCTTAACGTAATAGACATTAACAGATTTACAGCATACAAACATTGGGACCACTAATCACTGATGGGATTATTAAAGTGGGGGATACGAATATGAAGATCTTTTGTACAGATGTGCTCCAACTCCAGCTGAAGCACCTAAATGGCTTATTTATTATGTAGTTATTGATCTTAAGCTTCATTTATATATATATATATATATATATATATATATATATATATATATATATATATATATATACATATACATATATATATATATATATATACACATATATATATATATATATATACACACACACACACACACACTATGGATTTATGGAACTGATTGTGAAGATAATAATACTCATAATAATGTAATTAAATAGAAGAATCTAGTAGTAACATAACAATAACCATCTATATATACTTTGTCCTATAATGTGAAGATATACACACATACACACACACACACATATATGCACATAAAATTAGGTAGACAGATGAAAATGTGACCAAGACAAGCGCAAAGGAGAGCGTTCCTACCGCCCACTCCCCACAGGACAATTTTAGCTTGACCACAACATTTTCAGTTTCATCACTTGTCATGAAAACCTACATACATATAGGTATACACATGTAAGGCTTTACGTGAGCACAAGTAAGAAAGTAGGCCAATGCAGAAGCAAAGTCAAACCAAAATATGCGAATTTTACACTTGCATTAGACTTATAGTCTCCATTTCACCTGCTAACAATTTACCATATTGTAAACCACCTCATTAACTTCTGCATATTTTCAGTTTATGGATCCAATCCATAGTATTCATAAATGTTGCTTAATTATTACATATAATGGATGTGCGCTGAGCATGCAGAATTTTGAAACAACATACTATTTACAATAAATTACAGTTACTGTGTAACTGTAGTTAAGGATGTGTTTGAAAAGCACACAATGGCAATAAATGTAAAAATGATCAAAGGTCAGTTTATCCTAATCTAGAATCAGTTTTGCACCACTGTAGGGCTTACAGGCACAACAAGAGCTCTTACTGAGAAACAGGTTTGAATTGTTGTGGGAGAGAAGGTGTAAATGTTTTGGGGGTGGCAGGGGTTTGGGTGACACGGGTTTTATAGGGCAGGATGTGGTACTTCGTTGATGATGGGAACAAGGTGAATGTAGTCCAACAGCAAAGACATATTTAGTGTCTGAGGGTCTTTAGTTTTGCCCTAGAGCTACAAGCGAATACATAGTTTGAAAAGTTTTAACACCCATGATCAAATTACTTTTGGTTGATTTTTTTAAGTGAAAATAAATACATGCTGTACAGGGAACAAACTTAAATATGGCATTTTTTCTGCCATATTTCTGCCAAATTTTTGTGCACATTTACATATTTATTCGCTGAGTTTATCATAGAGAAAAAAAACCCATAATATTTGCCATCATTTTTGCACATTTTATGCCACGTTTCTTTTCTTTGTTTTTTTTAGTTCACACTGTAAAGCACTTCGAGCTGCATGAAAGGTGCTATATAAATAATGTTCATTATTATTATTATTATTATTATTCTTAGTAGTAGTAGTAGTAGTGGTAGTAGTAGTACACTCAGAAATAAAGGTATGAAGCTGTCACTGGGGTGGTACCCTCAAGGGTACATCCCAGTATCTTTGGTCAGGGAACATAACTGTGCTATAATTCATTGAATTTGTATTTTCTAAGTCCACAAGCTCTGTCTCATCTCCGGCCTTTTTATTTTATTGGTCAGTTTTAAAAGGTTATGAAAAGGTACAAATATGTACTTTTCACCTGGGAAAAAACTCATTTAAGGTACACAGTTGGACCTTAAAACCACTGTTGTGCCTTTTACATTTACATTGTTTGTACCTTGATGAATGAAAAATGTACCTGCACAGTTCCTTTATTTCTAACAGTGTAGCAGTAATAGCATGTTTTCCCCCAATATTTTAATTTCAGCAAACAAACAGTAACTGTGCATTAAGGTGTGCAGAAGCGTGTTCACTGTGGAAGACGTGTTGACTTATTTTCACTTAGAAAAGCAACAAAACATGGAGTTTGACCTGGGGTGCCCAAACTTTTGTCTTCAACTGTAGCTGTAACAAGTAACTGAAGCTTATAGCCCCTAGTTAGCATTGTGCAAACTGCATGCCTAAATCCCCACATATTTACCCCAAACTGTGTCTGTTCCGTGTGAGCTGCCTCATAGCTCCAGTGAAAAGAGTAAGGAAGGAAACTTTGGACACCCAACGTGTATCTTATTAACTACAAATTGGGTTAAACTAATTATCATTTTATCTGATATTAAATATTATCGTTGACTTCTCTAATGGGAATCTTTATGTTGTCTTGTATTCCACCAGGATGTTGCTGAATAACACAGATCTCTATGGCAACGACACGTTTTCCTGCGCCTCTCCCTCGGTGGAAGGCTACCGTTATTTCGGTGTTCTGTGGGGATCCATCGTGACTATAGTTGGAACACTGGGCAATCTTCTAACCATACTAGCCTTTGCCACTGACACCCGTCTACGAACACGATTCAATGTCCTCATTGTGAACCTGGCTTTGGCTGACCTCCTGTACTGCACCATCCTACAGCCGGTCAGTGTGGACTCCTACCTGCACCTACGCTGGAGGGGTGGAGCCACTTGGTGTCAGATGTTTGGGCTCCTCCTCTTCCTCTCCAATAGTGTGTCCATTATCACGTTATGTCTCATCGCAGCAAGTCGATACTTGGTTGTCGCGCACCGGACATCCCGTGTGGCTCGTTTGCTGCTGTCTCACCGTGGCATAGCTGTGCTCCTCGTCAGCTCCTGGGCACTAGGCCTGGCCAGCTTTGGCCCTCTTTGGCCTGTGTACGTATTCACACCACAGGTCTGCACCTGCAGCTTCCACCGCACCAGGGGGCGGCCTTACACCACCGTTCTGCTGTTCCTCTACTTCTTCCTCGGGCTAGGCTTCGTGGGACTTTTCTATTTTCTGATCTACCGCAAGGTGCGCATGGCAGCCAAGGCACTGATCAAGTACAGGCCCAGCCGACGCTCTTCAAGGCGCAAGCGGGCCGAGGCTGAAGGGACGGATGGGGATGACAGCGGGATCGGCGTCGGGACCACAGCAACTCACAGCTGTGAGATAAGTGACCAAGTGCTGGACCTTAGTAAGAGCAGTGTGACAGAACTCTCTGGAACAGCCCCCACCAACACCTCTGACACACAGCTAAACATATGTCAAGAAGCAAAAGTTTCAAATGGGGTAAAGCAATCACATAAAGACCCTGCGCCAGCTCCAACGCAAGCTACAACGCCACCGTCCACCTCAGGAGAGGACAACGAGTTTAAACGTGTAACTCGCATGTGCTTCACTGTCTTCTTATGCTTTGTAGGCTGCTTTGCACCCTTTCTTCTGCTGAACATCGCAGACAAGAAGAACCGAGCACCGCAGGTGGCCCACATGTTCTGCGCTAACCTCACATGGCTTAACAGCTGTATCAACCCACTGCTGTATGCAGCCATGAACCGCCAGTTTAACCAGGCCTATCAAGACCTGCTCTCCAAAGCTTTTTGGCCACTAGCACGCTTATGGAGCAAACGTTGAAACAGACCTAATTAAAGCTGCTTCAGTCTTCAGAGAACCACACTGAGCTAATGCTGGCTGAACACGCAGTGGTCCACAGAGCAGAACTACAAACAGGCAACTGAAGCTTATGCTAGTAAAGTCACTGAGCAAGTATAGCACAGCAAGCTAGAACAAAGACTCTTAGGTGTCCAGCACATTTCCTGTTCAACTGTACCAGAATGAATCTAATTTAAGAAGGTTAATGTTATTTTTTTTTCCTACGGTCTTGTGGACAAACAGATATATTTTCTCCAACCACAAACCTCTGCAGCCACATTCTAGATGCAAATCCAACAGCACTTGTGTGTGTTTGCATGCACATTAAAAAAAAAAACAGAAAATCCAAGCTAACAGGTGAATTATTATTGGCAACACTGAGCAACATTGAGCAGTCTTGCGTTTATATTAAGAAACAATCCAAAGCATAAACTTATTCACATGAGAAAAAGCAAAGACACAGTTTCTTCATAAAATTAAGATTTGAATGTGGTTTTGAAAAGTATATGCAAACTAATGTTGCTGTATTTGCATCTACAATCAGGGCAGTCTAAATGTTACTGAACTGAAAGCTGTTCATGGTTTGTTTTTTCTTTGAATTATATTAAAACATCCATATTTTCACACTTTATATATTTTAATAAATATTACCAAAAAAGTATGTATTTTAATGTGTCTGTGTGTTTTATATATATATATATATATATAGTAAAAAAACCAATTATGTAACAGGGATAACTCCTGTATTTCACAAGTCGAGACAGGCACTGACAGTACTGCAGTCTGCTATGACGTTCCAAGGCGTAACACAGGAAATGCCCTAGCCTGGAACATGTGGACAGCATGCACATGACACAGGAATCTGCCTTGCTGCCTGTAATGTCTTACAAAGTTCAAACATCACTGTCTTCTGCTGTGAGCACTGACTTTTATGCAGCTAGTCCACAGTCACATGGAAGCATCTTGAGCCAAAACAAATAAAAAACATAGGACTGGAGCCACAAAATCACAGAAGAGAATTGTAAACAACCTAGCATCACTATACACATAGATTTGTATAATATTACATATGGACTATTATGCAAATCACAAAGCTACACAGTTACCCCACATTGATCACTCTCCACCCAAACAAATGTAGAAAAAGAGGTTAAAGCGACTGAGAATGTAACGCAAGACATTGTGCCAGACACTAGCAAAAGTCAGAGGCAGCCAAGAAAAAAACTTTAAACCATTTATCTTGGCAGTAAGTGAGCTTTTGCCAGTAAGAACATTAGATAACATTACAATAATTACAAATGAACATGAAAACAGTAAAAAGTAAGATGATATTGTTTTTTAAAAAGTTATTGATATGTTGGAACACAGGTTTGATTTATAATTTCTCTGTGAGCTCCAGCCTTTGCATATATTTGTTTAAGTTAATCAGCAGCATATTTGATTTAAATAAATGATGGAGTGATTAGCTAAACTAAATGCTGGATGGTAGCTAAAAAACTGGGCTTCCTTGAGGAGAGGTTCGGAAATGGTTACACTAACACACAACTCTTAAATAGTCCTAAGAATCTGACTTGGTTTAAGAACATGTCATTAACATGATGTAGATGAAAAAGTCATACCTTTGTTCTCTTGACTGTGTGTAGACTCAACTACAACAGCTCGTCATCATAACATCAAATCACTGACCTAACAGAAATACTCGAAATCAAATTCAGTTTGCTTAAATGTAGGTTTCTTCGACAGAAAATGTGCTCGGTTCTTATTCTGACATTACATTACACATGATATACATGTTTCTTTTTACTTAATGGTTCAAAAAACAAATTAACCAAACAAACAATGCTTGGACTCTGATGCTGCTGTTGTTTATGAGCCAGTATGGAGTCTTTTAGCAAATAAAAGACAAATAAATGGCCAAAGTTTTTAAAAAAGAACAAAAGGCTTTCCAGTTAATCTACAGTAATAACACTCAGTATCATATGAATAATAAAACATGAAACATAACCACTGATGCAGAAACATTTCTGAGATATGTGGTTATCAATCATTGTTGTACTGTAAATGAAACCACTGTGAATTGGATCATCACATTCATAATTCATAATAACTTCATGTCTTACAAACACAGAAAGGGCAAAAATACAGTTTGTTCCTGGATTAGTTTGTCCTCAGTCTAAAAAACATTCAAGTGCTGGTGGCATCATATTATGTAAATCTTAACACCATCTCAAATGAGCTTGTGACAGTGGTGAGACTGCCTCCACAACTGACTTCTCTGACAGTTGACACCTTCAGATGGTTGACGTTTTCTTCAAAGATCTGTTACATCTTACTAGATCCAGATTCCAAGTCATCCACTAAGAAAGGCTGCTTCTCTTTAAGAAGTTCATAGAATTCTGCTTTCACAGCTCTTCCTCCTGACTGGATAACTGTGTATATGATTCTCATTTTCTCCTGGGAAGTTTCTCTAGCTTGTACATTACTGTAGTCTTCATCACTAATCATATTTTTGCTTTTTAGGCAGTCTGCAATCTCCATTACTGAGGAAACTCTCCGAATGAGCTTTTCTCTTTGTTTATCTATAAACTCAGCCCCTGAAATTCAAACAAAGAATAAAATACAATTCAAACCACAATTAAAGCATTCTTTCAAAAGCATACCAAAGTACAAATTTTATAGACTTTCCATTATAACTATAAACCCATGCTGTATGCTGTCAGTGTGTGGGAAAAAATGGATTAGTTCCTGTCACACTGTTTAACAACGGTGCTGGTGGCCAATCATGACTCACAAAGAATTGGCAATAAGCACTTTCTTCCATGTTATAGGGAATTGGTAGACAGCAAGTGGGAATTGGTAATGCATAACACTGGTGAGATAAATGAGCAGAAATGTAAAATAACCCTCTGTTAAATCAGAGAAAACAAGTGAGAACGTCATACCTGTGTCCACTCTGAGCAGGGCTGCCTCTGTGCTGCAACCTGAAGCGGTGAAACTAGGTTAATTGCCTACAATGACTTTTTAGTGAGTACAAAGTTTTGTATATTGTATCTCCACAATCTTTCCTCAACCTTAATTGGCAAGGAAATAGTAAAAACTGCAGGGCCAGTGTGAGCTTTGGGCAAAATAGGCAACTGCTTAGGGCAGTGGTCACCAACCCTGCTCCAGGAGATCTACCATAGAGGCAGGTTTCACTTCCAACCCAAATCTAACAGACCTCCTTCAGCTAATCAAGGACTTCTTAAGACAACAATTAAATTGATCAGGTGGGGTTGATTAGGGCTGGAGCTGAACTCTGCAGGAAGGTAGATCTCCAGGAGCAGGGTTGGTGACCACTGGCCTTGGGTTTCCAAATCATTGCACTGCATCAACAAAAAACATCACTGATTTAAAGTGGGCACCCACTCTCTTAGGGTATGAAAAGATGATAAGTCCAGGGCAAGGCATTTCTACATGGGCCTCTTATTACTGCTAATGTTTAGAAGTCTAAAGACTAAAACAAAAGATAGGATATTCAGGAGACCCAAACTGGTTGCCAGGACTCAGAATCAACTCACATAATAATAATAATAATAATAATAATAATAATGTTATGACGGTGCAGGAGAAGAGCACACAAAAGAGGTGATGCAGGTGATGCAGGTATGCCAATATCAGTCATTTTACTCTGTACAGTTTTATTTCTCTGCAATGTTCTGCGTTATCTGCCTCAACAATAGTTTGCTGTAAAAGTGCAGTTCTTCTAATCATCATATTACATCCTTTAACTTAAGCTATTAGCTGAGAGTGTAGAGTAAAAGCAGTAAGAAGGCAAAAGAAGGCCTCCAAAGTATAACCTTCTCTAGGGCCTCCTTTAGTCTAGAGCCAGGCCTGATTAGATGACACTAATAGTAACAGCATGCTCGTAGAACATGCAGTGTGCCACTAAAATATAGCCGTATTTTTTTTTTTAATTTAACATTTGAAGTATTTACACATGAACTTGATGACCTGACAGATTTCTAGTGGATTTATTTTGTAACTTTATCCACAAAGAGTATTTACGAGATGTTCTGAAAATGAATAATGTTGATAACATTTTTAAGGTAGTTTCCATCACATCCCACTGCATGAAATTTCAGTACATCACATTTTCAGAGAAAAACTTACTTGTTTTACCAGATTTTTTACCGGTAAGAAAGATGTCATGTGGCTCCCAAACCTCAGTGCCATCTTCATCCATAAGACTTACAGTAAGATAGTCAGCATGAAGGAACACCACAAATGTGGGATGATAGTTGGGCCCATAGTCATAGTCAAATCTGCCAGCCTAAGAAAACAACATGGCAGTGTAATGTGTAAATATTACAAAGCTTTGGAGATTTTGGTAAAGTTACATAGTCTGTTGTTTACCTTTGGCTGAGATACATAAGGGTCACAGGACAGTTTGTAGTATCTACCAGGGGTCAGTTGGCATGTGGAGCTTGTCTCAAAATATATGCTGCCTTTGTGCCTTTTTCCTACCTTTAGTAACAGGAAATGGTTAGTTAGAATTGTTAGAGCCAGGAGGTTCAAGGAAAACACTAGTAATCAAGAAATAACAATCATTTTTCATCATTGCTCATACACACATGGCAGTACAATAAACTACTGTAAAATGCTGATTACCTCTTCAACTGGTACGTTTACTGGCAACAAGTGGATGTGCAGTTTTTTCCTGCCAGGCATTTCTTTGTGGAACAGTAGCACTTGGGCACTAATGGGACTGGCATCAAATATCATGCTTTTTAGAAGGCCAAAAAGAGAGAGGCTTTGGATGCTAATGACCACATGCGTGTCTGTCACTCTTACTGGTGGCATGATCTCTATATTGTCACCAGCGAAATGTGCCACAGACTGCTCAACTGGATTTTTCTCTGGAAAATATTAAGAATAAAATTTACAGTCTATTCACAAACAATACATTAAGCTTTACACTGCCTTCATGTGGCACAAAACTATCAGACTAGTTCTCAACTGGGATGTGACAACAAATGTAATGACAGGGTTTCTACAAAGTCTTTCTTCTTGTTTAGCTGATTCAGAAAACCCCATTAGGTTAATAAATTGTGCAAGTAGTGTCAGCAAAAAACAGCATCAGCACTGGCCAAAATATTTACCATGAAGTATCTCGCAGTGTGGGAGGTGCAGATAACTAACTGAACCTTGAGTGCAGTCAATATCGTACAGGGGTCCTGCAGGCTGCATCTGGCCTAAACCATCCAACAGACGAGTATCCCAGGAGACTATTTTGTACAGAACCTCCCCTTCCCCCTCCATGTCAAAAACAAGGTTGGTCAATTTGCACTGAAACTGACCAGCATAAAGGCACCGAAACCTGCAGAGCAGAAGACAGAAGCAAGACGCTTCTGAAGGATGAAAACATGCAAGATGCAAGATCTGAATCATGGTTGTGGTGCTTTTTTCTAAGTAACACAATGAATCAAATGGATGTGGCACCTGTACGTCTCACTGTTCTCATCTTCTAAATGGCTTTCAACCATTTCAGGAATGAATACTTCTGCACTTTCCAAGGGCTGCTGAGGTGGAGAACAGAAGATGAAAAATTACACTGGACTAGGTGTTAGTCGCACTGCCTGAGAACACAAGCTGATTCAACCTCAACTCCCAGCTTCTGCTGCTGGTGTCATTTTCAAGATCTGGGCGATGTAAAATCTACTTAAAATCAGTTTGAGGCAGCAAAGCACACTGCCTGTCTGTACGACAGAAAATAGCAGGTAAGATACACTCGATGATAAGATGACTTTTTAAGGATGTCTAGAGAGGTTATGAGCTAGGCATACATTTCTGGACTATTATCTTGAGATCACAACTTAATTGTCTTATGATCCCAAGATAACAAAAGTTGATTTCTCAATATCACAGTCTATTTCTTTTGCGATCTCAAGTTCATCATAAAAAACAACAAACAATATATTTTTCACATGACCTCAAGATTATCGTTATCTTGAGAAAACAACTTTTGTTATCTTGAGATCACAAGAAAAATAAGTTGTAATCTCAAGAAAACAACTTCTGTTATCTTGAGAGCACAAGAGAAATGTCATCTCAAGAAAATAACTTTTTTTTTTATCTTGAGATCACAAGACAAATAAGTTCTCAAGATAACAGTCCAAAAAATTGTAACAATCTCATGGTCTCTCTAAACTTCAATAACTTTTTCATTCTCATGGCACCGTAAACTTATTTTGATAGACACATGCAAGAGATTCTGAGCATAACAGATCCTCAACACAAACCTGGTAATGAACTTAAGACTTCATTGTAAACTCATTGCTTCCCCACTTACTTTCTTATTTATTTATTTATTGCGAGCTCCTCTTTCATAAGAAAAAAAAAATGGTATACTGAAAGGTTTGTTTACAAAGCTCTGTGCTTAAATCAAGATGCAAACAAAGAGCACTTTAATGTAAAAGGTTTTCCCCTACAATATATATAACTGGCGGGCTAACATTGGCATCCTAGCATTTGGTTTTTATTCTGTCTTTGTTCAATTTTAAGGAAACTAATCCATGGACTAATCTTGGACCTGACAGCCCAAACATTTAGTGTTGATACAAAAACAGTTGTAAAACAAACTATTTAATAATTTAGTAGTTTTAAGGAATTATTAAAGTTGATCTTTAAAATTGTATGATTTGATCTTTAAGACATAAACAAAGAAAGCCAGATCAGTTTGGTGCGAAATGCTCTGCTGTTGAGAAACTTACTGAGTCAGAATTGTTCACAGGGGCGATGAGAGAAACTAGACATCCGAAGTGTTTAGAGCATCTATAAACCACCTCACAGAAAGTTATTGCATAACATGTCTGAGACACTGTTTTGCGATAGTTTTGCAATGAGGTTTTGGCCTTAAACATTTTTTAATCCATTTAAGGTGGAGAGGTACATGCAGGGCGAAACAGTATCCAAAGAAAGTGTATTTTTTCAGATTCACCACTAATCATTATCAACATCGCCAACAATACAACTCATGTAGACAGCCATCACTAATCATTTTGGATAGAAAATAAATTGCTGTATATGTGTTGTAGAAATTATGACCCCATGTTCCCATCATCACCATTGTAAAGAAATCTGAGTCGCTAATCTTTTATACAATAATACATTTCACAACAAACCACTTTCAGTGACTATGTTTGCTTCTCAACGAGTGAATTACGTAGACTTTTTAAAAAGTCAGTGGAATTTCCCTGAACATAAACTATTCACATGTAAATTAATTAAGCAGAGTTTGCATAACAGTGTATTCATATGTACAGTGCACCTAAAAAATATGTATAATGATCTTTTGTCACCAATTTTGGAAAAATCAGGTGAAAAATCTAGGAGCAGTTCACAGGTTAAGATCTACTGGTTAGAAGATACAGGGCAAAATGTGAAATTCTGGCCTATGCTGCCACCATCAGGCTGGACAATGTCCCTTCACTTGCATGAGTGGTGGGTAGGACACTGTACCTGTTTAGCAAATTTAGTGATTCTACATCTTATGATCTTTGCTGTCCTCATCATTTAAGGGTAGAATAATAATAAAAAGTGGAGAACGATGCGACACAAGAAAACAAAAGCGATTTAGTTCCAGGACTGTGTTTGTACCCCTAGAAAAACATTTCATACAAAAGAGACTAAGTGGACTTCAATAAAAATACTTAAAAGTGTGCACGCTAATCATTACTAGATGTGCATTTCATCAATTGAAAACCAATACGTTAATCATACTAATTACATTAACATATGAAAATAAATCTTTTAGTCATTAAATCCCAGCTGAAGGTATAAGAACAGTGTCCACTAATCATTAAAACTTCAACTGTTTAACTTTTGTGATGTGGTTCCATTGATGTATCTGGCAAACGACGACCATGCGTGAGTTGGACTTTCCTTTATTTAAAGAATAAACATAACTCCTTCAGTGTGAAAGTAGATGATGAGGAAAAATAACATTGTCATGAATATAAACCACACAGAGACAATCAAAAAAAAAGAATACACTCTTAGTTGTTTCAGTAAATCACTGAAATGCAATATTTTTTCTTAATATAAAATCATTGCTCCCCCTTTCACTGATTTTTTTTTTTTTTTGCTGGCTCCTCTTTCACAAGAAAGAAACTGGTAATTAACTCTTTTTGTCTGACTGACTGTTAAGGTCATAACTGAAACATCCAGATGGTTCAGGATTGATATCAGGTTACATATCTATCCATTAACATATCCATTGAACTAGCCCTGTGATTATGGAATAACAACTGCTTACAGGTATATGCAAAGGTTTGTTAACTAAGCTCTACATTCAAATAAAGTTGCAATCAAAGATTAAACAGATTTCCTTTTTAAGTGACATTTCAACTACATGTAAGTGAGAGCAAGTCAAACAGAAAGTAAAGGACCTGGAAATGCTGCAGTAGAAAGGGTAAATGGGAAACATCCAGTTTTGGACATTCTGGATTAGAGCTAGAGACTCATAATCACAGAGGTATAGAGAGAAGAGGACTGAAGTCATGCATCAGGAAAGTTTGAGTCAGGAACAGTATATATAGACAAATAAGATGAATATGAGATGAAGGTCATGACTGGAATCTTAAGCAGCATTAACACTGGAGGCAGTGCAACAAAAATAAAGTGATCAGCGTGATATGAAGGTGCTGGCTACGTGTCTCTAACTAACAAGGGACACAATCTTAGATACCTCAAGTCACAGATACAAGTGCTCTATGCATAAACTTTCACAGTTTTATCTACCTTTGATTTACCAAATATGTTTACATTTATTTGCTGGCTGCCACCAGAGCCAATAAGATACACAGCTGAGTCAACCTGAGTACAGACAGGTGAGTTATAAGTGCTGTTTTAATCAATGTCATAAATGCTTAATTTTTTTTTAAATCGTTCATTTGAAATTAGGGAAATTAAGGTTAATCAAAATCACCTATAAATAAAAAAAATAATATTTTTTAAACATTTTATATTTACATGGCAAGAGTTTCCAGATCTTGGTCTTGGAGTGTCCCTGCACCGTACATTTTAGTGTTTCCTTAGCTGTAACCTAACCATTTTAAACTATTTAGGGATTTTAAGGTTCTAAATTAGCTGATGCAGGGGTTAAATTGAGTAGGAAAGATCCACAACGGTCTTCCGGTACCCTCTAGGTATCTTGGAAGTGGGAAAATTCTACTACAATCTATCAGTCTTCTCCAGAGTGAACAGATCTGCCTGGTCAGAGCTGGTCCCGGCCTCTCCGGGGACCTAAGCCAAAATCTACAAAGGAGCCCTCCTTCCTGACCTGTGAGCCATGCAAATCATTTGCAACTGCCACACAGTCACACCTGACACCTCAGTGCTCCCACTACAATCCTCCCTCCTCTAAAACAGTTTGCTCCATCTATCAGTCTAAGAATAAGTAGATACAGAACAGAATGAGGTACAATGAGGTACAATCAACACTTACTCCTCTGATGACAAATTTAAGCCTCTCTCAGATTACCTTTCACTAAGAGATGCCCATCCATATTGCCCAGTACACCCAGCTAATCAACATTTTAAACTCAGTATTTAATCATTATTCAGTGTCAATCAATTTCTTTCCATTTTGCATTGGTCCAGAGTTGTAACTAAATCTTGACTGAGAGACTAAAATTACCGTCTTATTTTAAAATCATGTGCGCCTATATGGACCGTGCCCTAATGCCCATATATTGTCTGGACTGAACTGGTCTCCACAGAGGCTGCTGCTGCAAAGCACAAGTTCATTTTGTGCATGTGCATATGAACACGTTTACATATGACATGGTTATACTTTCAACGCTGCAGTTTGTAAGCACTCTTGCCTGTTGGCGTTCATCAAATGTAGCACATCAACCTTTATTTGTTGAACGCTACTGTTATGTGCTGACATTAAACTTGGACAGGAGGGAACACAAGTCTTCCTGATTGCTGTTCCCACAGTTCACTCTCATAGTGTTTTTTTTCTTCTTTTTTCGTGACCCGATGGTTAATTTCTCTTCATTATCTCATCAAAGTTGTAAACACGAGGAGGAAGCGGGGCCTTTGCCTAATTTGCTAGGCCCTATGCAATGTGCGTAGTGAGCTCATAAGGCTGACCACAGCTCTGTGCCTGGTGGCTACAGACATTTTGACCAACTAGTACCTTTTCACTTTAATCTCTTGCACTCTATCTACAGCAGTGGTTCTCAAACCAGTCTTCAGTTAGGGAAGGGACCGTCAGATGGCCTGCATTTGCTCGATCCAAATGCATCGCAAATTAGGTTGGAGCAAAAATATGGATCTGTTCACTTTTCACAAGAGACTTTATAGTCCACTTCACTGGCCCAAAGTACTTAACTGCACTTTTCACACTTTTACTTCCTTCCTCCTTTCAGTATTTCCTTCCTCAAACAATACATTGCTGTGGTGAGACGGAATGAAAATAATGCTGACTTTGCCTTTAACTGTGCATCCTTTGGTTTTACCATCAGCATGACTAAACTGTCACTGTTACTGTGCCACACAAAACATACAGACCAATTATGTTTGCTGTGAAAAATTAAAGGCTTATCATGTTTCAGCTCTGATAGAGGGCATTTTCCTTACATTCATCATTGAATCAGTGACAGTGTACAGAAAGGTTTGCAGAAGTTTTGTGAATCTAAAGCATTAAATAAAATAAAATGAAGTTAGAATGAATTTTCACCCAACTACTGTGTTTAGTTCACTGTCTGAGTCTACTGAGCTTGACACATTCAACTTTTAACGATAAATGCTGTGATCTTTCAATTAAAGCAGCATTATGTAACATTTGGGGATTTGGAGACCTCTCTGGTGGAAAAGTGTAACTAAAAGCAACGCGTGGAAGAACATTTCGTAACGATGGTTGTGCTTCGGATCCCCACAAGCGAGCTCATTGAAAGAGTATGAAGCGAGAAAACTTTAAAAAGAAGGTGAAGGACGTCTTCTGAGGGTGCAGGCAGAATCCACCCCGGTACCTTTAACTTTTAAAAGTTAGGCTTTACAGGTCAACTTGTAGCAGTGCAAGCTCACCATATTTTATATTTTAGTGGGGGTTTTTTTCTGATTCAATAAGGCTACTTCCTTTAATTTAAAAAAAAACAACAAAAAAACACAACAACTACCTAATACTGCTTTAACTCAGCTAATTGTGCTAGCTACCTCGTTACGTATGTGTATAGCAGGTTTGCAACCCATCCAAGATTTGCCGGAATCTGATATGCTAAATCTTTATATGCTAGCGTTTCTTACTAACGTGTCTTTGTCCAAAACATTTCAATAAAAAATGGGTTTGATTGGTGTAGATTACATCTACATAAGGACAAGTATTTCAGACAGGCACGCTGTTGATGACAAGTTTAGGCACCAGGCAGCACGTTAGACAATAACTGAGAAGGTAGCCAGTTCAGTGGTAAGATTTTTAGTGACTTTGATGAAGCAAGATTTTAGAAAAAGGCACCTGAGTGTCAAGATGGATACTAACTACTAACTTTAACATACTCAGGACACCACCTCCCACGTTCCAATTTAATCCCTGAGCTGACGAATTGAGTCAGCTGTGCTGTGAGCAGGGAAAACAAACAAAAAAATACTAGTGCAAAGGTACTCCAGGACCAGGACTAAGAAACACTGACATAGAGGATCATAGTCCTCCTGTGCTAATGAGCTATCTTGATACATGATTATGGAATGTAGGTTTTTATATTACTGATCAGTTTTGGAAATGTGAATGCAGCTTTCCAGTCTGAGTGCATTAAAAGCATTAGAAAATTGAAGCTCAGGGGCTCAAAGGGATGCTCACAGGATAAGCCAGCTCTTGGAAGGAATGATCCAGAGGAGTAATTAACCCTTCCATGATGTTAGGATCATTAAGAACCTCTTGCAGCGTAGGTATATCAGCATCAGGAGAAAATGCCTCTGGAATGATTCCCAGAAGGGATTCATCACTGGGGACACTCCTCAGAGGACCTTCAGGTAAGTCGTGTAAACTCTGAGCACACTTGAGTGCATCTGAAAATTCTTCTGGTAGACAAATTAAAGGACTCTCCAGATCCCCGTTGGGTAAAATAGGGTCACTTGTGCAGTTGTACATGGGTGAGTTCTCTGGCCCTTGCAGCATGACGTCTTGATTTAGTTCAGAAGAAGGGTCTTGGACAAGGAGAGAGAGAGAGAGAGAGAGAGATTTTGATATGAGAACAGAGTATAGAGTATACTCCTTTTTCCTTTTAACAACTGTTATTTGTTCTGTAATCGTTTGGGAATTGAGTACAACAGTTGCTGTCGAAGTGGATTTTTTCCACTCGTGCTTGTTATACCACTTCACCACATTGTGCCTTATAATGTGCCATATATTTAAATGGGAGGCAGGGCAGTCTAGCACCTGCACTATTACTATGAAGCCACGCTGTTGTATAGAATGTAGAATGTGGCCTGGCATTCTCTTGCTGGAGCAAGCATGGCAAATCACTTACAAATAACTTTCTGATTTTTGTTTTTTAGCATTTTACCTACTGTCCCAACTTTTTTTGGAACTGGGTTTGCAAACACACACACACACACACACACACACACACACACACACACACACAAAATACTATTCAATACCAGAGTATAGTTTATATTCCCAATGTTAGGACAAAGGTAAACAGGTGTAAATTATGTCTAAAAGAATCATTCATGCAAAAAAAGAAGCCCATAGATGTTACACATAGACGAGCAATGGGAGGGTGGAGGGTTAGATCAGAACATTATTTTAAAGGAAGATTAGTTAAAGCAATTAACCTGGTCATGCACTTTCAAAGTAGGGTGTACATTTTTGAATAAGAATTGAAAAACAAGTCTAAACAAGTGTTTGAATTTCAAACTTTACAAGAAAGGATGCACACATAGTGAGAGAAAGAGCACAAATAATGAGTAATAGAGAGAGAAAGATAAAGAGAGAGCGAGATGACATGAGGCATACACATACTGCATCCTCAAAAGAACCTGTCACAGTTTCCTTTTCGTGTCAAGTCTTCTTAAAGTTTTGTCAAGTGTTTTACATCACTTAAGCAAGAGGGACAACAGCTGCTGAGCACAGAATTGATTAAGCACAGCAGCATGTGTATGACAGCAAACCAAGTTCACTAGTAAGCACTAGCAGCACTAGCTGACGTATTAGCAACATTAAAACGGAGTTTAAGGTTTAGGAATACAGCTAAGCTACTGTGTCTGTAAAGCAGGCAGGTAACACGCTAGTGGGATAGCAGTGGTTCCCAAACTTTTTACAGTCCCGTACCCCTACAGACACGAAACTTCCTGCACGCTATATGGACAAAAGTATTGGGACACCTACGTATTACACCTACAGGAGCTTTTATGACATCCCATTCTAAATCCAGAGGCAATCTGGAACTTGTTAGAGAGCGACTCAACAGAGAATAGGCACTGTGCTTTCTGCGGCCCCACTCTGTGAGTTTGCGTGGTCTACCGCTTCGTGGCTAAGCTGTTGTTGCTCCTAGACGCTTCTATTTCATAATAATAGCACTAATAGTTGACGGGGCAGATCTAGCAGGACAGAAATTTGACAAACTGTCTTGTGGCAGAGGTGGCACCCTATGACAGTGCCATGTTTACTACCAGTGTTTGTCAATCGAGACTTCAGGGCTATGTGCTTGATTTTATCCACCTGTCAGCAATGGTTGTGAAAAGGAGTACATATGTCACTTGCATACAAGGTACATATGTCACTTTTCCATAGAAAAGTGAATGTAGTGTACCTTTAAAACTCACTGAAGGTGCACAACTGTGCTTTAAAACCATTACTGTTTAAGGGTATATTTTCGTACTTGTACAGTACCTTTTTTCTGACATTGTACAACAGACATTTTTGTTAAAGTTTACCTTAAAATGAATAATATTTAATAAATAAACAATAATAGGGACACTTCCGTATTACTGTATTCTAGGTGTGGGTCTATCTGGAGCTCCTGTCAGAGCAAATGACTGAAAATCTTTTGATTTGTAATCACATATGCTGCAGCATCAATATGAGCATGCATATATGAGTGAGAGAGTCTGAGGCTGTAAAATGAACAGCGTGTAACAAAATGTTTACTAACCCTAACCACAGCTCACATATATCACAAGAACAGTAAGTGCTCAGAATTCGTGAACACTTAAACAAAATGCTGATGGCTAAGCGGTGATCACAGCAGCTACAAACAAATCGCAAACTGCTATTAAACCACATCTGCAAAGTTAAACTACCTCAAGTACACGAGTAACAAGTATCATACACACACAGACCTAACTCTACTGTGGTTATTTTCTCCTGAGCACAGGGTGCTCAGAAAGGGCTGGAATCAAACACTTTCTTCTGCAATACAACTTTTTATGATGAAATTGAATTAGAGTACGAGTTTGCTAAGGGCTGGAAGCTTTTTTTTGTGTCGCCTGTATCGGGGAAGTACCTGTGTAACTGTGTGGCCTGCTAATTAAATGAAGATTGATGTCATCATTTTTTGATGTACCCTCGATGGCATTCAAAGAACCCCTGGGGGGGGGCGCATAACACAGTTCGGGAACCACTGATATAAAGTGACCACAGTGTACAGTGTACTGTTTTGTTAAATAAAGGTTGTTATTTGGGAAGTGGAAAGAAAACAATATAAAAAAAAAAATCAAACAGAACTGTCATAGTAAAAGATAAATTGACTTAATTGTTTTTTAATCACTACACCCCTATTCCAAAGTGAGAGATTGATGGCAGGTATTGCATAGGGAAGAATGAAGAAGATGGTTAAAAGAAGACACTATAGAAAAAAGCCTCTAATCACTTGATAATCACAGGCACCCAGATGATACACACGCACAGCCAATGACATCCAGGAATGTTCAATGTATGTAAATAAAAGGGACGATCAAGAGGCAAACATGCCATGACATACAGAGAAGACCCCACTAAACAATCAACATAAGGAACAGTGATTAAAGCACAATATCATGTTATCAGCCAGTCGACAATCAGCTGGACAGAGTGTTTTTTTGTTTTTTTTTGGTGATTAAGGTGGCTGGGAGGTAAAACTCACCATTGTGCTGCATGCACAGGTCAGGCACTGGCCCCTCAGCCACGTTTGCACACCCATTCCTGTTGCAACCAAGCACATAGCACCCATTACTACGCGCAACCATCCAATTAGGGCTGTCACAGTTAAAACTGTTTGCTCAATCAAAAAAAAAAAAGCATTAAAAGTTGTGTTCTCTGTGAACTGGCTAAGAGATTAGTTCACAATTCAAATAATAAACAGGCTATCATTATGAAGCAATGTATTGCAGACTGAAGATTCTTCACAAGGGCGAACTATTAGCACTCCTGTTGCTTCTGTGTGCATCAATGAAAAAGAAGAAACACACCAGCAAGATTTTACTCATGCACATGTTTGTAGTAACAACCTGCATTTCTTTGAAGTAAATTTACTGTATATCCTATACAGTGAATCCTTTCCTACACAGTGAAGTACAATCACTGTACATGATATAATTCACTGTAAACTCAAATGTACACCACTGCTAGACTGGTGCTAAGAATTCCCATAGAAGCACTAACATCATTAACGCAGAATTATTATATTATTTATATTATTTATATGAAGATTTCTGCATATAATGATAGGTGTGTCTGTGAAAATTTCTCCTATTGATCTTTCTTACAGTAAGAAACACTCGTATGGCATATTAAATATATGTTATTTTTCACTTAACATCACTGTATTGTTTACCGTTGTTTGCAGACCACCACAAATAATCATCAAAATAATCAGTAGATTACTCATTACTAATAAAACTGATAGTGTCAGCCCTTCACTTAACCACATGGAATGCAACAGTGCCACGGCTACATTACAGTAATCAACAAGAAACATGTTACAGCTATATTTAAGCATTACAACATAAATGTCTAGGTATGATTTTCCTTAACAATTACAAAAGACAACTTTCTGTCAATAACCAAGAAAGGTTATTACAGCAACCAATAATAGAGAAACAGAGATCTTCAAGTCACCTGTTCTAAAAACGAACAAAAGTGAAACAGCTAATGTCAAAGTTCAAAACCAAATCCTAACAAACTGAGATCAAACGGAGATCATCGTTTTGTGCAACTTTTGTTGTCCTTCTTGATGGCCTCAAGAGATGAAATAACACCCACACAGAGGTCAAGCAAGTCAACTTTTACACATTCTGAAGGACATGTTAAGCAAATACTTTAACATTTAAAATCCAGCACCATGCTAATGAGAAAAATCTAATCTGTGCTGCGACATCATGAAGTCATTAGGAAACTGCCCACGTTTGTGACTGCAATTTCATGCAATCTATCTTGCTACTGCTACATGAATAAGACATTTAAGACTTGGTAAATGAGGAATTTCACATTAATTACCATGGTCAAGACTACAAACTAGTCATGCTGTGACTTTATTTACATCCTTTTAGTTTTTTAAAACTATATTTAAATTCAACCCATATTTATATTGAATTCAGTGACCTTTTTTTAACCTTGTTAGTTTATGCCCTTTGTCATATCAAGTATGGTTAATCACGTATAATTTAAAAGAAAAATCTTGTTTTCCAATCTCATCCGGTCTTTGAGCTTTCATAGTGATAATACAGATAAATGAATAGTAATAATACACATAAATTAAGCAATATATGCTAAGCCACCAATCAGTACTACTGTACAATTAAGTAAATACATGTGACTTTCTAGACAGGTTTATTTTGGTACACTTAATAACCATTTTATAGTTAGTTCAGCATTGGCTTGTGATTAAATTTGATTTACATACCTAATGATATGGCTATCAGTTACTTAAATATTCTGCAATGAAACTTCTATGATTTCATATTTATCCAATATGCATGCAGTAGCCTGCTTTCTCTCAGTTTTGAAGGCGGTGTTTTTGCTAAAGACGGCTTAAAAAAGGAAGGCTGGTAAAGCAGTAACTGTTACATCTTGTGGGTGAAAAATGTGGCACCCCCTCCTGTACCATTTTTCACCCAGAAATACAACGGTACATTGACTGTTTATCATTTGCCTCAAATTAAAACACACACACATGTGAAATGGAAGAGGGATACTGGATACCATGCCAGTGATTCCTTTCCAAAGCACATCTGGTTCAATCAGACTATATAAAGTCTTAACAGCCTGAACTGTGTGGCTCTATAAGAAACTGAAGGACCATGCTGAGTGGTCTACAGATGCACAATCAGTGTATAAAGTCAACATTCTTATGTCAGTTTTCAAACCAGGAAAAACATCCTTCAGTTTGTCCAAGATTATGGACTTAAGCAAATGATCGGTTTAGTTCAGATCAGTTCTGATATGTGACAGGAGGTTGACCGTTTACAATCATAAAGGAAAACACCACTGTTGTATGCTACACCTCATGAACATGCATAAATTTGAGTCTCGAAGCACACACTGTACATACAGATATACACAAACAGGGATTCTGCTTAAATAAAACAATCATTCTATCACTCAACCAAAACAGTAGAGCAAATACTCACTCTTTTGAAACGAAGACCAGCTTGGTTTTAATGTATTTAATGTACGGACTCTCCTCTGGAACAAAAAGTCACAAAGATTATCAGCAACACTGTAACTAAAGGATCACTGTAGACCTTGCATAAACATCCAGAATGCCTAATATATGAAAAGTGGTGATACAATAAGGTGGCAAATAACTGCACTGTATAAACAGATATTTACAGTATATTACCATTTAATAACTTCTTGTTGTTCCCTAAAAACTTAAATATTGAAAAAAACACTTTCAAATATCTTCTGCTGTCTATCTTGTACAGCCAATTTTCCACACATGGATTAAGCCTAGTCTTGGACTATAAAGAATTTCTAAAGACGATTCACCTTTTATATGCAATGCCACCCAAGATTAGGCATAATCTGTCTGAAATCTGGCCATTAGCATTTCAGTCTGCACTGTGTAAGTCATTCTTGAATAAAATAACAGTAATTATTAATATGCTCAGTGATTTCAAACTTTTGAACAGTAGTGCATGCTACAAACAACTTTCATCACACTGTAAAAACTGAGGAACAACTAAAATACTACTCTAAAATAAATCATCGTAGCCTTGACACAGCAAATAACACACATTCTAAATGTAATTTGAGTCTGTAAGTCTCTTCAGCAGCTATTAGCTATTCACATGTTGACAGCACTGTTCGCCTGGTTACACAGGCACATGTACATTCCCACAACAAACATTCACACTTTTTCATACACACACAGATCTGCTCACCTCCAGTCTTCTCATTGTAGTATTTTCCAAATGCCCTGGTCTTTGGGGGTATTTGGATAGAGGAACTGAAGTGGGTATATTGGAGCATTGTCTGCCTCCATGATCTGAAAGTTGCGCAGGATTTCTGCGAGGGGGATCTGCTTCAGGTCCGTGCTGGTGAACGGCTGCACTGTCCGCACGTTGGGTTCACCTTACGTTCAGATCAGAGAGAGGCCTTTAGCTCAGTACATGGTATTACTGGAATGACTCAGTGATACCAATATGGATGCATTCACATTATAAGCCTTACTGCCTACATCTGTGTTCAGAAAGGCCTGAAAATATCAGATAGTATCAACAAAAAAAGCACAAAATCTCATTTGTGCCACTTGTTCCAAGTCTGTAATGTGAACATAACCTACCCTTATTGGCCACATTATGACAGTGTCACTACAGTGCTGAGACTGATCCACCACCCAAATACTACCTGCTCAGTGGTGGATAAAGAAAAGCTATAAAAAATATATATATATGCAGAGAAACGTATGTAGGGCACTACTTTGCGACCAAAATGTTTGCATTTGCCCCTTCTTTTTTAAAAATGTGACCAAAATTTTGATTTAGTTGAGAACAGATTTTGACCCAAATAGTCTACCACTTCATTGTGTGTCTTTATAATGTGTGAATACAAATATTCAGTGATTCGTTCATGGTTCTTGTGCATGCTGCTGGCATTGAATGCAATTACTTTGACAGTGAGTGAGCTATTTAATTAAATTAGGCTATTGGCTCAGCTAACTGGCATATCTGTCAAGTATTATGATTTTGTGAAGACCTACTAGTTTATTGTCTTGTGCCTTTGCTGTGTGAATGTAAATCTCAGGGGTTAAAAAGTTGATTTTACTGCGTACTACACAGTGACATTACAGAAACAGCCAATACCGGGCTCATCTATGCGTTTGCAGTTACTAGCCAATACAGCCCAGGTAAATTAAAGCCAAGTGGGTTGATATCACGCAGGCATTTAAACAGGCTAAACAAAACAACGAGCAGCTAATTGTCCCTCTTATATAACAGTAAAATCTCCTGAATGGAGCATTTATTTTGATTGTACTGAAAGGTAAAACTAGAGGAATATACACTTTGTATGGTCTGTAGGCATGCTGTACAAATCAGTGTTAGGGCTATTTAAAATATACAGTGCACCTGAAAGCTGCCTAGACACTCGCACAACTAGTGATCAGTGAGTTTTCAGTGAATCAGATCAACTAGGCCAGCTCACCAATAAGAACAGCTCCAAAACGGTTCTTCATTCAGTAGTACTGACAAGTTTCTTCATTTGAAAGTTAGCAATGTTATTTCTCATTTAACTGTCACCAAGCCTTATTTTAGATTCCATTTAACAAAAAATGGTATTATAGGAAAAAAAATTAATACTGAATGGCTGTAATTGATACTTCCTAATGTTGTTCAGGGAATCCTTAAGGGCTTGGACAATGCAGAAAAATCTGATTGCCAAATAAACATTCTCTCTAAATGATAGAATGAATAAGGAATAAAAAGGAATAAAAACTCATATGGTAAATGGAGCTGATAAAATGGACAATGAGTGTAGATGCAAGGTGTACATAATAAGTGGCCAGTGAGTGTACGTGTGCATGTGAGTGTGTGTGTTTACCAATGTTGGAGTACTCCACCCAGCTGAACGTAATCCCACCATCTCTGCAGCTCTCACTGAAACGCAGGAGAAAAGTCCCACTCTGTTTCTTCTTCAACAAGACCTTCTCCTTTCCCTTACTTACAAAACCCATGACAGACCTACACACATACAAAAACACATAAGCACACACACAAAAACACAAATTAAAAATTCAGAACTAATCATACAATTTGGTGAATATCTTTGCTGTCCAAACACAAGTATCACCAAAAAGGCTGAAAGAGGAGAGCAACTGTTATATGAAGAACAACACATACATACCTACACACACCCATATACTTACCCATCATGCCACAAATCTGCAAGGTACATTTTGACCAAGTTTAGAATTCCATCCAGCCACACCCAGAGGGTGAAACTTGTGCCACTGACGTTCTCCTACAAACATGACACACACAAATATGTTTCGGAATTAAATCAGTGATGTCTGCAGTCCTCTTGAACAAATAGTTTTTAAATGACAGGTTCCACTAAAGACTTGCTTAATAAAAATTATTTCTAGTTATTGTCTTTCCATATAATTTTTTATCACCAAAGTATGTTGAGCCCAAAGCATCATGTACAAGCAAAGCAAAGTGCTGCTGCCAGCAATTTCAGTAATCTCAGTAACTTTAGCACAGGAGTATCTTTGCCAGACAATGGTCATGGGAGAACTACAGATAAATCAACAAACAGCAAAACGGAAATCTACAGTTCTCCTTAAACCAAGACAGAATGTAGCAGTTTGAGAATGGGAGGCCACTGTTGCTCTCACTTGATGTCAGTGATGAAAAATAGACAATAAGGTAAATGCAGTTTTGTGTACACCTGGCATTAAGTTTAGGTCCATGTCGAATTATTCAAAGTTATACATTCTGATGAAGCTTATTTTGTCCCTTTTAGAGATGTATCAAAATGCACTACTTTTTAAATACAAAAAAATTAGGTCACATTTGCGCAAATAAACCCAATGTGAATAATCATGAATAACTATGAAAACTAACGCAATTAAACATGACTAATTATTGAGTCCAATTTGAGCAAATAGTTCAAATATAAATAACTGCATTTATCTATGCAAACTAATGCGATTAAATGATTAATCATTTCAACATATATTTGACCAAACATATTTACAAAACCTATAACGATGTTTTCTAGAAGATGATGTTTTATTTGCTCTTACCTTGCTGAACTTGGTCCAGGATATTTTACAATTGTCATAATTCCGTTGTTTATCTAACATGAAAAAAAGAGAGATGGCATTAATAAACTGCCGATGCTCTTTATCTTCTGGCTTCACAAAAAGTGACCTGGAATGTGATAAATGTTATTGTTTAGTGAAGTCGTGAAACAGGTAGTGTCATTTGTGTTGCTAACTGAATAAGGGACTTGTTGGTTGCATGAAACAGACAGTTAGGGCCTTTCTTCATTAGGAGCATCTAGACACTGCTCAACTGAACACTTACAAACCTAAGATAGTATGGTGCAATTATTTTGGTATATTGGTCAATTGCAATTACGATTATAAAGTAATTACATGAGACAGTCACACATGCCCTATGTTGTTATTTTCAAGAGACTCTGGGCTACAATGGTACTATTTGACATGTCAACGCTGACATAATTTTGGTATCTTAGTCAATTTAGCCAATTTTTGATCAAAATGTACTTGCTGCCTCCTAATTTTTGTAAATCCTTTGCTTATACAGACATTAAAAACAACCGTCAACCCAGAAACTATTTCAAAAATTGTTTGTCTATTGTGTCTGTGAACTGAAAATGCAAGAATATTTGCTGTGATGTATGTATGGTACCGCTGTATTAACCCTTTGTTGTGATATGAAACCTAAAAGCAGAGAACTAATGTCAGGTTATCGAGTGGCTTTTGGTTTGTTGTTCTTGCCGGATTACTTGCTGATGCTCTGTCACACCTCGATGCTAGTAAGGCCAGGGTCTGCTGATTGCTGTGATATGTGAATCATATCTGTAGCTGAAACCGTTCTGATGTTGTGAAAGTCAGAATCAGTCACGCAAACAGCACCCAAAATACAGGCTTTGAGTTGTAAGAGTGAAGAAAGGTGAAAATTAACTAAATATGGAAATAGGATTACCAAAGAGTTTCTGAGCGAGAGTCTCCAGCTGCTCTTCATCCAGACCACGTTTACCACATGACAGAAACTGCCAGCTCAGCATCTGTCCAAGCTGACTCCAGGTTGCTACAGGAGAGCTCGCAAAGAACATCAGGTTCTAATATTGCACACAGAGAGTGACAGCGGTATTAGTGACAAACTGTATCGGTTCTTGAAGGCTATGTGAACAGGGCATGTGTATGTAATAGATTGTGTGTTAGAACGTATACGTCTTAGGGTCTGACCTTGGGGTCAGTGCAGAGTGTGTTGAACCAAAGAACAGATGCCCATGCACTCTGCTGCTGGCTGGAATTAGAGATCACTACTACAGGGAGAGAGGAGGCCTGAGAGAGAGAGAGAGAGAGAGAGAGAGAGAGAGAGAGAGAGAGAGAGAGAGAGAGAGACTGCAAGTTCATTTTTTCTACATAACAGAATGACCATTCTAGAAACCTAAAACCTATTACAAAATGCACAAAGGGAATAATCTCACCTCCAGAGTGACAGAGAGGCCATGCAGGTCAAACTGTGTCTCACAGTGTATACTGTGGAGTTCCTCAGTCACACTCAAAGACAGCTGCATACATGGATATATACAAAAGCTTATGCAAAACTTTTATAAGGACATTAATAAAGATATATGTTCATTAAAATATTTGATATGAACATAAAATGAACATATAATGAACTGCTTCGACTTCTTTATTACAGTTTCTGCTCTGTGTTTATATTAAACCCTTCTTTATAATCTACTTTATATAAAAAAGCAGTAATTTCTGAATTCTTATTGACCTGTATTTACATTAAAACAGTATAAAGACAAGACATTCAATGTTTCACCTTATCAGCATCACTGTTTTGTGAATATAAGCTCATTCTGAAATTGACGCCTGCAAAATGTTCCAATAAAGTTGGGTCAATTGTAAACTAGAAATGTAAAATGTTCAAAAGAGATGATGCAATCATGCTTGAATACAAAAGAAGCATTCAGGAAAGGCCTAATCCAACCATTTAGGGGCAAAGTTTGAATGATTTTAGATATTTCACCTTCTGTGGTGCATAATATCATAAAAAGACTCTGGGGGAAATCTCTGTGCAAGCCCGAAACCACAACTGAATGCCTGTTACAGCATGATCCTTTAGAGGGCATACATTAAAAACTGGCATGCTTCTGTGATAAATATCATGACATGGGCTGAGGAATACTTTAATAAACAACCCATAAATGTCACTGCATCCACAAATGCAAATGAAGACTGTATTATGCCCAATAAAAGTTACATCATCTGAAATGGACACAGTGGAAATGTGTATTATGGTCTGATGAGTCAACCTTCCAGACTGTTCAGAGAAACAATGCATGCCATGTTCTCCAGAGTACAAAAGGACTATCTAGATAGTTACCACCATAAAGTTCAAAAGCCTGGTCATGGTATGGGGGTGTATTAGTGGACAAATGGTACGTCTGTGATTGCAGCATAAAGGCGTAATACACCAGGCAGTGCATTCGGTTATGGTTATATATCCGTGAGCATGCATTTTGACATCATTTTCGCTGCCAAGTCAACTTCAATGCACCTAAATACTCATGCCGAATTTAGTTATCTTTCTTGCTGGGGTACCAAGCATACGAAGCTGAAACTTATGGGTGAAGCTGTTAATGGCCAATTGTCACAGAATCGTTCTGTGGTGTCACTGGAGTCAGATGATCCCATTTAAGAAAATATACAAATTTAGAAATACTCGCTTGTCAGAATTGCTGTCGTTGACTCTCGCAGATAAAATCATAAAATCAGACGGCAAATAAAAGGTAAAATCACATATCGTGTTTTGTATTGTTTTTACTTAATCACTGCTTCCTATTTTCATAAGAATTTCACATACTGTCTTAATGCTTTTGGACAAAACTAGTTCTAGTAATCGTGTTCCATCTGTAGTACTTGGTAAATAATCTTACACTGTGATATAGCATTCATATGTAGAGTTTTCAAATGTTATGATGTCTGCAGAGGTGTCACAAAAACATTGTGTGGTTTATACTAGGTATAAATTTTACTACTAACTACATAATACTATTAACTACTTCTAATTAAAGAGCCCATATCATGGAAAAGATGCCCTTCCTTCTTTTATACGTCTTTGACTGTTTACAAAGTTTCAAAACATGCTGTTAACTCCTCAGTTTGTATAGTCCATATATGGAAACTAAGCTGTAAAACTAATTTTAAATCCATTATTTTGTGATGTCATAAAAACCAACACATTTACATATATCCATCTATTCAGCCTACAGCAGTTTAGCTCTGCACATACACGCTGAAGTTAGAATTGGTTTAGTCTGGACTGCTTTTTGAAAGCGAAATAACATAGGGAAGACACAGTAAAAAAAGCAGCCTGTTTGATACTAAGGGATAAAGAGAGGTTGGAAATGGTGAGGTACAAATCTACCTATTTTTGGTGCCTAAAACCATGTAAATGATATGATGATGAAGAGAACATGAAGGAAGGTTTTTTATGTAAATGAAGGATATGGGCTCTTTAATCGTAATCGCTATGATTAGTAGCAGCTGACACGTGTAATAGTAAAACTCACATCATTGATCCCCTTTCCTCCTGCTCCAGCCTTCTGCTCTTTCAGAGTCTTGTTGGATAAACACAGACATTTATTTTTCAAACTTTAAAGAAAGAGCTGACTTTATGTTATCACGTTGTCTTGGTAAGGCACAAACAATAGATCAATTCCAAAAATTTAAAAACACCAATAATAACAATAAAAAAAACTTACCAAATGTCTGAAGTCTGCCACCATACCCACCATTCATGCTCTCAGCCATATTCAGGGCCTTACTAGACGTTCCCAGAACATTGAACTTGCGATACCTTCAGCATACACACAAACAAACACACAGACACACACACAGAGAATGAACTCGGCGAAGATGCAATGAATACTCTGTGTCTTTGCTTATGTATCTGTGAAAACATTCAAGTTTTAACACATACCATTTCACTTTTGGAGGATCCCTGAAATATAAAGAGTGAAAGAACACAGCCAGTTAAGCCAGTTAAGAATTTCGCAATAGGACCAGCCATTTCAGGGCAGTTTTCAGTTACGACAAAATGTAATTTCCCAAAGAGTGAAATGCTCTTACTTGTCAATTGACACGGTCACTTTCATAGCATGGTTGAGTTCAGGCACCTTAAACAGCAATCTGTAAACACCATACACGATTACACCAGCAGCAAGGCCACTGAACAAAGCTCACACTAAGACTAACACTAAGACTAGTCCCTTAAAAGTTCAACTAAGCATGGATCCTATCACAAATCGCATTTTAGCCAAGAATGTGTATTATGCAGGTCTCTATTTTAGCTATATAAAAACTAAGCAAATTCATCTGGTTTACAGAGGCATTGTTTCAACTTTTATAACTGTGTTATAAAAGTCATTATGAGTATCTATCTTAGTGCTGGTAGATGATTTAGGGTGCACCACACAATTTTCACGGTTTAATTTTAAAAGTTGTGTAAAACAGGATGCTCTCACCTGGTTTTGACTGAGAACTGAACATTTGTACGCAGCACTAGAGGGCCTCGACCCTGGGGCATAGACGGCTGCGTTTCCACGATGAAAGCACTAGAGCAAAGAGAAACCCATATAAACAGACATACACGTCATAAGACAGGAATAAAGCACCCTAGGTAGATGTAAGAACACTGAACCTGCCTCACACCCAGGATAACAACATATTCTTATAGATATGTCTCTTATTTTCAAAGCACTGAGGCAAAGTATTCATTATGACAAACTAATGCCATTTGAACATTAAAATATCTATCCTGCATCTGTAAATTAGTGCACATGCAGTAGGGATGGGGGAAAAAAAATCAATTCTCAGATGCATCGCAATGCGGACGTGAACAATTCTGAATCGATTTACAAATGTCAAAAATCGATTTTCTAAATTTTTATTTATAACGTACTGTTGACGGAACGCAAAAGGCGGAACTTGGAAGTGGGGAAGTGCAGCGTCCGGACAGTCTGTTGCGTGCACAAAACAAAAAAACAACTGGCTGAGCGAGAAATCCAACCGGCACCCTCTGCATTATAAGCTAGGTTATGTCAGGAGTTGACAACCCAAATGTTAAGAAGAGCCATTTTGTCCTTTCAACAAAAATCAAACCACCTTGGAAGCCACAACATTTTATGTCCAATATGTCTCAGTATGTGATAATGTCCTAGTATAGACTAAAAATAGGAACGAAAACGCAGACTTACTTTGCTCTGCTTCAAGATTTAGCTACAGCCGCTTTCCTCCCATCTCCGCCAGGACACTTTTCCTCAAAAGTTTAGTAGTTTCTTGGAAAATGTCTCTCAGCGTTCAACTGTTCTACAAGGCTGAAGTTTCTTATTCACAAGCTTCTTGTTCGAATTTTCCCGCTCCACCTTAAAATTCTGACCAAGGTGCCGAATGTAAATGCGGCACCATTTAAGCTGGAACGGCAACATTAGAGAAGCGACTTCAACTTTTTAGTGTTTGACAGTCTCTTGTTGCAGATTTAACGTACCAGGAAACCAACTGCAGTGCTTATAAACGCGAATAAATTAATTTGTCTCCAAATGTTTGTCTTAAATCTCTCTCTTTGCCTTTTTGTTAGCTACTAGCCAGGCAAGACTGCGTTGCTATGTGACCTGCAGTCTGCGCGCCAGTTCTCAGTCGTTGAGAACTAGGGCTTTTGCGCTATGTTGCACACGCCCCGTCTCGATGACATTTTACTGACACAGCAATCCCCACTCTCTACAATGAGACCAAAACCGAAGTTATAAAATCACTAAAGAAACGGGTAGGACGGCTGTCACATGTGCTGCGTGGACATCTATTGCCACTGGATCTTATGTCAATGTAATGGCACATTTTATCGCGGATGAGTGGCAGCCTGCATCTCATGTGCTCCAAACAAGAGCAGTAAATGAGAGTCTTCCAGTTCACTTGCCACATCACTTCCATTTGTTTTATTAATTAAAGATATTGGGAGTAAATTCATTATGGATCATTACAAATACGTTGCTTTAAAAGTACCAAGTCCTCACACAGTGAGAAAATAGAAATCCTGCATAGAAAAAAGATGCATCAAGATGCATCAATAATCGTTTTATAATCGCATCACAGCCCTCTGAATCGTAATCGAATCGAATCGTAAGGTGCCTAGAGATTCCCAACCCTTAAAATGCAGCTAAGTAATTAAGGCAATGGTCTTGCTAAAAATCAAATTAACAAAATTTTTCCCTTAACTTAGTCCATTAATGCATTTGTAACTTTCTACAAATAAATACACCCATGCAAAAATATCATCATCTATTAAAAGAGACAAAAATATGCATCATAACTAAAAAAAACAATAGTAACAGCCGTGTTAAAGCTGGAATTTTTATTCATTTTTAAAGATAACAGTATGCCACACTATGTCAGGAACTAAACAGGTAAATCTATTTGAGATTATGGTTTAAGGGAAGTATGTGATTATTAGGCATGCAGTTTATACACTGCATGTATACAATGTGTGGCTATAATTTTCCATTAGTTGTTAGCTGCATCAGTGCAAAACTAAAGATGCTAACTGGAGATACTAAACCTTAGTAGAATGACAGGATTTAGGGTAAGAGGAAAATTGATTAAACTGTGTCATTCTGTTGATAAACAAGCATTTTATCCACCCACTCTAAGTAAGTGTGTTTGTGTATGTGTATACCTCTTCAGTAGGGCGGTTAACAGAGCATCCACTTGCACCTGCAGGCTGGGTTTTTGGTCTTTGATGGGATCTGCTTCATATGTCATCTTATCATGCAGCTCTTGCAGCTTTTCCAGGAACTTGCGCAGTTGAAACATCCCCTCTCCTACCTGCGTGAACCTGTCCAGATCAAACAGGATCAACACAAAGATGGCACAGCTGGCAAACAGGTCAACGCACATGGTTTAATATCAGCCAACATTTGAAAAACTTGTGTTGAAACAGTTGAAGATTTTGCTGTTGTCCTAGAAAGACGTGAGCTATTTTGCTGCTATGATTTTTCAGTTTGAGTTGTACCATTTCTCCAGGGGTTCTAGATTTATGTCTTCAGGAGCACCAATACATGACACTTGCTGCCTGCGCTTCCACTCATCAAGCTCCTCTATAAGCAAAGCCAGGAGTGATGCAGTAGAATCCAACAGAGATGACATCTCGGTGAGAAATGTCTAAAACATATGGAGGAAAATATTAAAGAAGAGTGGTGAAAACCTAAATACTTTAACAAATAGTCTATGTCGATTATTTACAAATATATACACATACCGTTCTGGAGACATTGAGCATGTTGAGCATCACTTGCAGCCCTTTTATCTGCTCATTTTTCTCTGCTTCATCTGTTGTACCTACGAAAACATGATCATGGTCAAAACTCTGCCATTTTTGAGTATTACACTTATCATCATGTTTCTAGAGGTTCATGCAGGGGGTTTATACAGAAATACCCATGCCTTACTTAAAGCTGCACTATTTTTGTTAAAACTGAAAGAAGTAGAATTACCCTGTAAAGACTGAAACAGTAATTTAAAAGTTGGGTCGTGTTTTACGGAAGTTTTCACATCACGTCAGGCATCTTTATGTAATAATATCACATGCAAAGGCTCAAAAAGAAGGTCTGGCTCGATGTTTAAGTCTCAAATGCAAAATCAACATTATATTGATGAAGACACGATGATAAAAGATATCCACTACGTTCTTGGAAGATGTGCTTTTGAGTTCTCTTTGAGTAGTCTTTCATGCAATTACACATTTCCACCACAGATGTCTCCAATTCCCCAAATTTTACATACTGTAGCTTTAATTGACTCAGATTAAATATGATGAATTTGAGGGTTAATTCTGAGAAACGCAGGACTGGACTTATATTTTCACTAGTGAAAGTAGCTCAGTCATATATATTTATTTTTTCCTTCTTTTCCTATGTGCAAAAATACAACTTGTTTCTATAACAGGTCAAATGGACACCAGCACATTTCCATTACTTTTTATTATCCAGTTCCAACATAAATAACAGAATAAAATTAATTTCTTTTTAACAAGCCAAACTGGTATTTTAAATTCTTAAATGAAAACACAGCTGCCTGAAATCAAACAAATTGCTACATCAAAAGTAAGAGATAACTGTCTATTTAGCACAAAGATTGTTGCATAACTATGCTATGACTGGTTTACGTTTATGTTACGTTTACGTTTGGTATAGGTGTAGCAAGTGCATTCAAATGCAGCTTAAGTGCTCTTACCTCGCTCAAGTAATTTACGTTATCAATACTGCAATACAGATTGTGCACTCTTACCCATTTCATGTTAGGTTTCCGCGGAAGACACTAAGACGTTCAGGTGCTATCATGTAAATAAATTAAGCTGCTATAATGCTGAGTATGTGAACATTCCATTAATTGTAATATTGTGTCAGCATTGTTAGCAAGGTACTTCAGAACTGTTATATTAACCTGCCTACCACAAGCATAAGATTGTATTAGATACAACAGACTGAGATCTCACCATCCATTCTGTGTGTCTGATATTTGAAGTCAAACTCATCTTGTTGCTCCTCCAGGCATCTCAATGAATGCTCCATTACCTGCCAATCAAAAAATTGATAAATAAATGTATGAATACCTTTATCAGTCTATCAATAATATGCTGAGTATACACACTGACACACCTGAACTTTGTTCTTAAACTCCCTGACATTCTTCTCTATGTGTCTCTGATTCTCCGACTCCATAGAATTCTGCTGAACCTGCAACATCTGCACCTGAATGACAGACAGACAGACAGAAATAGAATGTATAAAATGTGTACATGTACAGAAAGTCTAAAACAGAGATACTAAGCGTGATGATAACAGAGGTAGGTAATATGTCTAATTACTGACTTTTTGTGCTAGCTCTGCAGCCTGTAGAATCTCTCTCTCACTGGTCAGGAACCAGTTGATGATTTCAGCCAATGTGCATGGATCTTCTTGGTACCTCTACAACAAACCAAAATAACTTAAAGAAGAGCACCAACAGCCAGTGAAAATAGCAATTATCAATAGTATTAGTCAAATGACCTCACCAAAGAAGAGGGAACATTATACCTGAAAGTTCTGTTTGAAGCGTCTGAAGTTGCGCTGCATGAGAAAGGACCTCTCCTGGACGAAACGGCTATACTGATTGTCTAGATTCTCCAGCAAAACCTGGAACAGGACTACTGCCCTGGACGTGTCCCGTGATGCACCTTCCCTAATAAACAAACACAGACGCCCACAGAGTTATGTTCTCTACTCGCCAAGTTATTTAAGTGATCAAGCATTTTAAGCAATCACTAAAGTCTCATTATCACTTCACTATACTTCCTTTAACCTGAATACATTACATTAATTACATAACATCAATGCTCTATCATTATATGTCAAAAAGTATGCAGACACATGCTCATGCAACATATCTACTATTAGATTATAGATTATTAATAATGGCTATATCCCTGTTAACTGCAGTAAAATCCTCTGCTCTTCTGGGAAGGCTTTACGCTAGATGTTGGAACATTGCTGTACTGTAAGGATTCGATGGCACTGAGCCATAAGAGCACTAATGAGGTCAGGTACTGATGTTGATGGTCAGTTCAGGATCAGAAATGCCACTCCAACTCATTCCAAAGGTACTGGATGGAGCACAATCACTCTGACGCTTAGTATTATTAATGGTGACTTTAAGCTCACATGCTGCTGCTCCAGAGCGTCCTATTCTATTGTCAGAGCCTTTCTACGGATATCATACAAGCTGTGCGTGAGCAACTGAAAGCCGAACTGGGTGCACCTTAAGTAGCTGAATTCACTAATTAGAAGTGTCGTCTGAATATGTTTGGACATATCACTGTTAGCCTTCCTTACTTGCGTAACACTGAAGAGTGTGTTACTCACCAGTCTTGGTCCTCTATCCACTGAGCCAGATAGTCTCTCACCGCCATGGGAAGTTCTTCTCTGCAATACAGCTCATCCACCCTCTGCAAACATACCGAGTCGAGCTGCTTCAAGCACTCCCACTGCGACATTCTGCACACACAACCAAAATAATCATACACACATACATACATACATACAGTGTCCTCCATGGCACTCAGGCCGTGTCAGTAGGCTAAACAGCACAGCTATTACAGCTAGCAAGCTAGCTAGACAACTTAGGAAAAACTGGATCAACGTACTCGAACAGGGGCTTTCCACTGTTTTCACGACAAGCTATATACTTAAATAGAAAAAAATTAAATACGAGTAATGTTCTACCGAGCCACGAAACGTAAGCTAACTTAAACTGATCTGCAGAACTCAACCTGCTATCGCTAATCTTCATAAAATAAACAACCTAGCTAGCTAGTTAGCTAACCCTATATCGCCGAGGTACTGCAGCTCATGTTCAGGCAGTAACGCTAGTTCTTCTTTTCCACTACTTTTAAGTTCACTTGACTTACCTGAGACCTGAGACAGCGAAGAACGTTAGCTGGTAGCTCGTAACAAATCTTAACTGACCAAAACACCTGCAGACACTGCACGGACACTACAGTCCGCTCATGTGAACTATGAAAATCCAAATCAGCTAATCAAGATCGACCACCATATTGGTGTTTATGCATGGAAGATAAACAAATAGCCCTCGGCGGCCTGCACTCGCATCTGAACGCTCTTCTCTCAACACTCCTCCACACGCCGAGAAACTGCTAGCTGATTGGCTAAACCACGTCACACACGCGCTCCTTCCTTCCTTTGATTGGCTCTTCTTTTTTACGTTCCCGCCTCCATTTGAAAAGCGATTTATTTAATATATTTTCAATGTATCACTAACGATCCTTATTAAAACATATCCTTCATTTAGTATAATTTTAAACCATTTCTGGCCGCACCAAAACGTCAAAATGTGGTTTTGCGAGAAAGACAGTATGGGCTAAGATCATAGCGATTGGTTGAAAAGGCCTGTCCATCAAACGGCGGAGGGGCGGGAGCAGAAACAGCAGGATCGAAACTTAAGCAGAGCGAGTAGATTTTCCAAGAAATGACGACACGAAACTCAGTTTTGCATTGGCAGTTTTGAAACCGCCATATTAAAAAAATGAAACTGCACTGCTGTTGGTTTTAACTCTTGTGTGGTGTTCATGTTTTTGTTACTCAGTCTGGAGGACCCACCGCATTATTGGTGTTGTAAATCAATACAGCCATAACAATTTATGTAAAAATACCATATATTTAAAATATCACAAGTGGCCAATGTAGGGTTTTCCTTTTGCAGCTGTAGCCAGTCAGCAGCTTGACCATGTTGTCCACCCTCACGCACAAACACACACGCACACACACACACTAACAGCAGGCCATGTAGGAGGAGAACAGAGTGAAGGGACACAGCACCTCCACACTTTTATTTGCAGCGGATTCACCCTAACACCACATGTGTAATATAAATGTGCAGGGGGTGTACAGGGTGAAGTCATTGAAAATGTGTTATTTTATATGTTCTTTACAGAAAATAAGCAAAGGCCAAGGAATCTGAGGTTGAAATAATAATAAATCACATTATTTTTTTTGGTTCTGTTATTTCGGCGCAGTTATTTCTGCAAGGTTAGCTAACCATGCTCAGGGCCACAGAACCATATGGTAAGATGCCAAATGGTTATCAGGGCTGTCCCACGCTGGTCCAGACTCTTGAGATCGGTTCAGTTTCTGTTTCCATAAGTTGTACCGCTAAATCAGAGCAAATACCCAAGCAAACTAGACAAATGAGTGGCTAACTGCTAACAGGCTAATAGCCTTGCACACACCAGCCACCACAATACAAGTTTGATTCTGTCTGTCTCTCCAACTCTAGTCTCTCGGTGTGCTCTCATCTTCTTTATCCTGTAAATGGGTATTATTTGAGCATCTGTTACTGAGCCAATACTGCAGTGGGTTTCACCTGTAGCTGGATAACTACATTAGCGTTAGCGTGGCCTGACAGGATAGCACTTAAAGAACGACAGAGCAATTACATTTATTATCTTTCTGTCACTTCAACACCAGTCATTTGAATTTGTGCTCTTTTTTCCTGTAAACAGGCATTTTTAATGATCAGTTCACTAGCAAACTAGCTAGAACCGACCCGTACTGCAGTGGGAGGTACCGTGCTCCCGCGTTAGTTTAGCCTAGCAGGCTACAGCTTAAAGCACTACAGAAAAGGTCTGATTTCGGCTTTCTGGTGCTCCACCATCAATCAGTCAACTTTCCTTTCTTGGTTTTAAGCGCTCCGTGTTGAACCGTGTCTGTGTGGATACGGCACCGCAATGGTTACACTCCGTGCTCAGAACTGTTCAGCCCTGCAGAGGAAAAGCGACCATAGTGTAGCTATTCGCCGTTCGGTTTTACGTTTTTGTCAGTATTGTGCCACAGCATCCTGCCCGAAAACAATAAATTTAGTTTACTTATATGGACGTCAGATAAATGTAAGCAATGTACGATTTCAAATTCACTAGCTAATAAACACCAAAGCTTCGATCTAACACCAATTTCTAATTAAATGGCACTTCCCAGATAGCAAAGTAACGTTGAATCAACGTTGATATCGCGTCATTTTCGTCTTTTTTGGTTGATGACCAAAAATCAACTACAAATCAACGTTGCCATAGGTTGAATCCTTAAACCTTGTTTCAACGTTGAAAGCAAGACGTTGAATCAATGTTGAATTGTAGTTACTGTCTTCAACCATACTATCTCTGCTAGCAAATAGGCTGTTTTGGCTGAGTGTTGAAACTGACGGCTGACTGAGACTCGCGCAAAAACAGCATCTGACCCATGTATGGCAAAGCTCTATGAGACCTGCTTAAAAAAGGTATTGTTTTCAGTGACGTAGGTATTTCTCTGTGGGCTTGGTATGTATACCATGGTATATGAACAATATGTGCTTCTAATTGCTTGGCTCTACTAAGGTTTTTGGGGTTTTTTGATGGTGCAATATGTATTTCCAAATGTAAATTATGTTTCATATAGTGTTTTCTGACCAAAAACCAAGATGTATTCCTTATGCATGCTAATTTATAAGCATATATTTAAAACAATCAAGCAAGTTTTACTTTGTAAGAATTCTTGAAATAAGCAAAAAAAAAGCAACATTGCTTTCATCTTTTATCAACTTCATAGCACATGTGAATACACTACCTTTGTTAAAAAGGCCGCTTTTAAGAATCATAAAAAACAACTGAATCCCCTGAATTCAGTATTACCAAATACCATCTCAAAACCATCTCAAAATCCCTGAAATAAAACAATGTAACATGGGGCTACTTCTTTAAACAAATAAAAAAAGTTGACTATAGACACAACATTGTAACAATTTAATCATTGACTTTTTGTACTTATTTTGTGCCATAAATTACTTAAATAAGATAAAAATCCTTAGTGAGAGTTTCAGCGAAGAAAAGATTATTTCAGACCAGTAAAACACGTAATGGGCGGAGCTGTCCGGCCTGACTCCGCCCCCTTGTAGCGCGAGTCTCGACGTGACCGTTAAGCCAAACGCGACCGTTTCGAGCTCTGTATATTCAAATCATACTCACCAAATGAACGATACCTGTTTAACTACCATTTTTATTAAGCTGGTGCAGTAAAACCTCTTCACAACATTCGCTTATGCTCATTACTAAGATGACTGATGCGTGATGACAGAAACTGCAGCTCCAAAACACCGAAGACTCTTCTCACCGAGCGCCAACGCGTATGCGTTACTGGATCAAGTGGAATGAGGACGAACTCACTTCTTCTGCTTGTGGTTTAAAACCACGGTCACAACTGAATTTCAGCTTACATACTCTTAGCTGTGTCTGTCAGCTGACACTACCTTTTGGGTAAGTTAGTTAACGCTAGCATAATCTTAGCTTAGCGAAAGCTAGCTCGCCTGCCTGTAACCCTTGATGTTGCTTAGCAACCCCACAGCGCGGCTACGGCATTTAGGAAGAGCCGGAATCACTCAGAGCTGATGTGGAGCTACAGCTGAGTAAGCTAACAGCTGGCTACGTTTGTGTAGGTAGCAGAAGGCAGATAAAACATTTAGGAAGGTAAATCAAAGAAACATCCCTCACACAGAGAATTAGGATAGTAAATTAAAGTGTCTGATGTATAACTTTATGCTAGTTTAGTCTGCACTACACTGACATTTTAGGAGTTTGGCTTAAAGTACTAAGTTAAGTCACTTTGTGGTAAAACTATTATCAGTATGGTCTGCTGCAGTATATTAAAATGCTTAATGTCTGCATTTTATTTCACAGAGCTTTGGAAATCACCAGCAGAATGACTGGTAAGACTGAAATGACGTTTTGACTAATATGGACCTAACAGTCAAGCTGATTATTATAAAAATGTGTGACAGTGCCTTAGAAATACAGCACCTTCACAAAATTTTAAAGCTACTTTCGTTATTCTAACACTTTGTTGTGTTACAGCCTTAAAATAAAACTGATTACAGTCGAGGGGCAGGAATCTCTTGGCACAATGTGATATGATTTGGTTTGATTGGATTTCAATTTAAAATAATGCCAAGATGCAATTATAAAACCATTCTTGTTCCCTGTTGCTACATGTTGATGTGTCTTCATTTTTATTTCTAAAGTCTATGATTTTTAATCATTATCATTAACATGGTTTGATCCAGCTTATTTTTTGGCTTCTGTATTTTTAACATCAGCTGGTTTAATTTAATTGTTTTATGAAAATCATTTTTTTATTTTTCTATTTTACCTTGTTTTACTCTGTTCTTTAGTTGATGTGCACAAAAGCAACTTGTGTGCTAGAGAAACCTTAGACTGCTACATGGGCTCTGCTTGAGTAAATGAGTAAGTCGATATGCTTAAATGACATAAAAAAATGTTTTCCATTGTTATAGCAGACTTGCTTTGGAGTTCTGCTACAGATGACTGTAGGAAACCAGCAACTACCAGTACCATTAATTGATTCCAGCACCGTTAATTGATTCACAAAGGGTTGAGATTTTACCTGGAAAGCATTTTTTTTCAGACCCCTTAAAATCCGAACACTGACTCAAACAAACATATATCCAGAGATTTTTATCGCTAATAACACCAGAGAATTTTGAGAAATGTTGTACATGTTTGCAACTTCATCATTGTTTACAAGCTTTGAAAGGGTCTCTTTCAAGTAAATACGTACTTTATTCAAAACATACTTATTTATATTGATTTCTTAACACAATTGGAAGTGTACAGTAGTAGTATTATTGTTAGTAGTAGTAATGATAATAATAATAATAATAATAATAATAATAATAATAGAAGGATGTGATTATACTTAAGTAGCACATAGAGTATATTCACATAACACTGAGTGAAAAATGTTTGTTTTTTGTACAGATTAACTCTGCTGAAGGGGTACCGTTTCACTAAAGCAGGAAAGAATCAATGGAGATGGAGTCTGAGGTTTAAAGAAAATGACCAACAGGTGCTTGATGGGCAGAAGCTATCCCACCACAAGTGAGTGTATGTATATATATATATATATATATATATATATATATATACACACACACACAGTCTGCGTTATTTGGTACACCTACCTACACTCAGGCTACACTCACTGTCAATTTTTTAGGTCCACTTACCAAACAGGAGCACTTTGTACATCAGATTGTAGTCCATCTGTTTCTCTGCATACTGTATTAGTTTCCTTTTACCCTGATATTCAGTGGTCAGGACCCCCACAGGACCACCACAAAGCAGGTATTATTTGGGTGGTAGATGATTCTCTGCACTGCAGTGACACTAACGTGGCGGTGACATGGTAGTGGAATGTTATTGCGTGTTATGTGTGCTGCACTAAGTGGATCACACACAACAGCTTTTTTAACTATTCAGAGTCACTGCTGGCTGAGAACAGTTGGCCAACCAAATATGTCCACTATTGAGGAAAGGTGAATTGTAGTCCTGGTGATGTGTTAGGGTAACCTAACATCATCACACATAGCACATTTTATATTTTGTGTTTTATTTTTTCCAACATGTTAAACGTGTTAAACAAGGATATTCAAACCTTTTGTACACACAGCCCTACGTTGATAATATTATGTTAGTAATATTATACCGAGTGAAAAATGTTTGTTTCTTGTACAGATGGGGGGAAACAGTACCTTTTCAGTGGAACAGAGGAGAATCAATTGAGATAGAGTTCTTGTCCAAAAGCTAATTCTGAGGTTTACAGCAAAACAGCCAACAGGAGCTTGGACGGAAAAAGCAGTCCCACAACAAAAGCCCAGCTCAAGACCCCCTAGAGACCAGAGAAGTTTGGAGCTTTAAAAGGTACGCTCTCTGTCTCACACACACACATTGCCATTCGCCTACAATACAGGTTCCAAACCCTGGTCCTGGAGAACCCTTACGCTGCACATTTTAGTGTTTAATATATATGCCCATTTTGAATTCAACACGAGTCAAAAAAGTTCTGACAGGGGCAACAAGAAGACTGGTAAATTTGTGTAATGCTAAAAAAAACCACAGTGGAACATCTCACAAGTAAAAAAGAGCATCTCAGAGGCTGAGTCCTCAGAAGTAGAGAGGGGTAGGTGGTTCACCACTCTGTGAAAAACTGCACAATCAAATAGTGCAACCATTCAAGTACAAAAAGTTTCTCAATGTAATACAGCAAAAACCTTGGAGATTTTATCATCTAGGGGACATAACATCATTAAAAGATTCAGAGAATCCAGAGAAATCTCTGTATGCAATATTAGATGGCTGTGATCTACAGGTCCTCAGGCAGTGTTGAAACGGAGTTGGTCCAGCATCTAGTTTCAACGGATTTTCAACGTTGATTCAACGTGGAACAGTATGTGCACTTTTCCGTTGAATCAATGTCAAAAATCAATGTTGATTCAACAGTTCTGCGTTGAACTGGACAACTGTGAATCACCGTTGATTCAACGTTACTTTGCTATCTGGGTTATAACCACGAGAGTGGCTGGTTAACATTAGCTTAGTTAGCATGCTTTGCTAACCAAAGAACAGATTCGATTCTGACCAACAAAAGCTTTACTGATGCAAGTTTAGATGATAATAACTCAAATCTGAGGAAGCAAAGTCGAGTGGTCAGTGTTAGAGGGACAGAAAGTCGAAATTAAACCTGTTCTGTGGTGTTTGGAGCTGTAGCCTCCTAGTTAATGCTAACCAGCTCCTTTCTCCTATAGCTTAGCTAAAGAGATCCAAACGGCCCATTACAGGTTTGATTCGACTAACTGGTACTCTGCTATCACAAGCAGAGGCATTAAAAACTCATAACAGCGAGAGCAAGGTCAACTGATTGATATTGGAGTAACAGAAAGCCGAAAGTGATTCTGTTCTATAGTATTTTTACCTGTAACTTGCTAGTCTGAGCTGTCGCAAGTGTACAGTGCGTCCCACTGCAGTAACATTACAGACTCGGTTTCAGCTAACTGATATTTAAAAACACCCGTTTAGAGGATAAGAACTTATATATGAAAGTGCAAATTTGATTGACTGGTGTTGAAGTGACAGAAATATAAAAAATAGAATTGTTCTGTGGTGCTTTGAGCTGTTCTCTGTTGGACTACGCTAATGCTAGTGTAGTTAGCTGACTACAGATTCAACCCATTGCAGTACAGGCTCATTTTCAGTAACAGATGCTCAAATAACACGACAACACAATGGTTTACAGGATAAAGAAGATGAGAGCACGTCGAGAGACCCGTTTCGGAGTGACAGACGAAATTAAACGTATTTTGTGGTGGGTGCTGTGTATGTATCTATTAGCAAGTTAGCAGTCAGCTACTAGTTTGTGTATTTCCTGGTTCTGATTCAGAAAAAGACACATTATCTGGTCGGATGAGTCCACACCAGTGCAAAACGACACAGTACAGTCCTGAAAACCATTTCTCGACAGTGGAAAAGAAGCCAGAGTGTCTCAGACTGAATCACGCAACAATATTCAAGACAATGAGCAACAGGGAATGTTCATGCTCACATGATAAGGGGAAGGGAAGGGGCTACATGGTGAACTCCACTCATTGTCAAGAGGAGATGGCTGGGAAACAGCCAAAGAGGAGAAGATCTGAAGAACAAAGAAGAAGTTCTTAGATCAGGGCGTTTCAGGGGTGGAAAGACCTCAGAGAGTTGACGAGGCTGAAGTTGGATTCCTATTCACATTTTCCCATTCCAACTTAAATCATGCAGCGGTTCCATTCTAGTGCCTGAAAATTTGAACAAGAAGCTGTGGCGCTGGAATGTAACTGCTGCAACATTTAAGGTGGAGCAGGAAAGTTCAAATAAGATGCTGGCAAAAAGGAACTTGACTTAAGCTTCATTGAGCATGAAAAGGGATGAGGAGGTTGCTGTGTTTCTGCTTGATAGGTTGGTAACATTAACTTAGTTTTTGCTATTTCGCAGAACCAATAGGTCAGTATTGTTTTGTCCCGTTTGCTAATGTTTGTGACAGAAACTGGTTAGCTGTGTGGCAGCCACTGTAGCAACAGTTTGCTCATCCACAACATAGCAATGCACGTCCATGAATTTGGGGTGGGGGTGGAAGTTTTGAAGGAGCACTGAAGGGAGGGGTGTATTTGTTTTCCTGTTGAGTTCAAATATTAAATATCAGAATATACTACAATTCTAAGTACATTGACTGTAAAAATACTGGTTTGTTCACAAATGTTAACTTAATTTTGGGCATCTGGTTACCTCAGTTTTTTTAAGTTATGTGAGCTTATTTGGGATGATATTTTTACTGACCCTCAAGTAGCCTACCTTTGTAGGAAAATGGGTCTACCTTCCACTCATTTCAGTAAACTGCAGTCATTCACATTCAATTACAAATTCCTGGTTTCGTGTTCAATGTCATTCTGTTCGCTTGCTGATAGCACTTGGTCTGCTTTACTGTTGCTCACACCCCCCTCTTTTCAGTTCTAGCATTTTATGTTTTTGCTTCAGTTCCTTACAGAACAGTATTTGATGTTGTTTATTTATGTTTTATTTCATTTTATCTTTTGATCGTTATTTTAATTAAGTAGTTCTACTGCAAGGATGGTTTTAGTTCCACTGCAATTCTATAAGGAACTCAGTACTTTAGATTATTTTGACCCTTATTTTCTTTAAGTACTTCTTTACTTGGGGATGGTTTTAGTTGAGGTCCAACAAAAGCACAGTTTATTTTTCTGCTCAGACACACCCGGTTCAACTCATGAGGAAGTTCATTACCCTGTATATCATTTCAGGAAACAGCAAGAGAAGATTTTAAATCTATATTAGGTACTGTCTCCCAGTTGTAAAAGAAATCTGCAAATGTATTGGGTAAAAGCAAGAACACACAGAAAATGTAGTAGTTATTTATTGTAAATATTGAACATTTACAAAGAAAAAGAACACCCACTGAATAAGCCTATACACATAGCTTACTTATGTAAGATTAGTTAATGTAAGGTATATGTTGCACAAATACTTAGGACATTGCATTCGTTACATTTAAGCCACATTTTAGGCTACTTTATCCTTTATGTAACTGAAAACGTTGTTGATCAGTGAGTTTCTGATCAATTGTCTGTGAATGCATGATTTATGCTTTTCTTTGTAGATAGTTAAAGATGGCAAATATTTTTGGGCAAAATGCTCTGTTTACATACTCATCCATGTCTGTCCAGCCATTAGGGCTTTAACTCATTTTTGTCCTCACTCTTTTCTTTGCTTTTCTTCTTTTAGCTGTTTTAACTGCTTTAAAACTCCAACCAGATTTGTGTCTAATTTTTTGTGAACTGAACTGAACAAATGTAAACTCCATATCAAATCTGAGATCAGGTTGCACCCCCATATGACGCTATGCTGTGACAAGCCATGTGACTAATTGTGTAACAAAATCCTTTAACTTGCACAACAGCAGACATGTGGAGAGAGCAATACTCTTAAATATGTTTCATTTACTTCCTGGTATTAGTCATAAGTTTCCATCATCAGCTCCTCATTTTTTCATTTTTATTGAATGGTGATCGTTCCATCCTCCCAGCTGTCTTGGTTCATTAGCAGATCTCCTTCCTGACTCATGTTGTTTAGCAAGTATTTAATTCCTGCCTTGACACCAGTCTTAAGGCCTGCCCCCAAGAGCATATCCAGCCACACCTGCAGTCCCTCCAGTAACAGCCATAAGGGCGTCAGTGCCCAGATCCACGGCGCTGAGGATGGCTCTCTCTTTTGCTGTGTTGGAGCAGTTAACGGACGCATAGTAAACAGCTGTGCCGAGGTTATAAAGTGTTGACACTCCTGGGATCCACTCCACTACATTGTACACACGCTCCTCTTTCTCATTTTTACAACTTTGCTGAGGAACTTCATGTCTGCGCCTGCGCACAGGCCCCTCTCTGCACCTCTGAATCCAGCTCTCTGATTGGTTAGGGGAAGCCAACGGCACTACCCGGCTGCCAGGCCTGAAAATGACACGGTACAGCTTGGTGTTGGAGTCGATTTCTTTGGTCACACCTGCACAGTTGATTCCTAGGCTTTCACAGACCTGCTTGGCTTCACGTAGGTGGAGATGCCCACCATGATCAACTGTTTTCCCCAATAACTGAGTGCCCTTTATCTTCACCCAGCCCTGGCATTTTTTATTTTGCCTAGGACTGGCTTTACCAGAAGGCCCATCCATATTCTCCCCTGCTTCTGCTAGCTGTTGGATGTTAAACATCACTGCCTGTAGGTGGTGCTGTGAGTAACCGTTCAGCCTAGGAGGACTGGAGGAGAAAGTGTGGAGAGAGGTTTTTCTGCTCTGCCTTATCAGAACCACAATATCCTCTAGGAGCTCTTGTGTATCTTTTGGTCCAAGTAGTATATAGAGGTTCTTGACTAGTGACTCGGCTTCTTGTGGACATCCCACAGACAACAAAACAGGCACCATCACCAGGCCCAGCAACTCCCGTGAAAAGCCTTCACCACTCCAGGGGCCAGCGGCCAGATCTGCACAGCTCACATTTCCATGGAAAGGGACCTGACCCTGTAGAGAAGCTGTGAGGGTGTAGATAAGTTTATGGGCAGAGTCAAACCTTCCTTCATCCTCTGCACTCACTTTATCTTCAGTTCTGGCCTTCCCTTGCTGTTTCCACTCTGTTTCCTGGTTTATGGCCATCTGTGGCAAAGGTGAAGAGAATGGAGACATGCTGGCAGTGGAGATGATTGGCCCAAGGCTGTTCTTGATGCTAGGAGGGGGCGGAGCTCTGGCATGAACCATGTCAGACAGCAGGAAGTAGATCAGAAGCAACCACTTGAGTTTGGAGCTCTGTGTCACCATGGTGATATGCACAAAATGGGCAGAACCAAACAAAAGGAAGAATTCTACGAGAAAAAAGAGGGATTGGTGAGGAGGCATTTGTGCATGATGTTGCTGTCATAACAAAACTATTCTGTGAAGGTTTTTATTATAACTTTATACAAGGAGAAAATAAGGTCCATAACTTTAATATACACTCACTGCCAAGGCCACTTTATTAGGTACACTTTGTGTCTGTGCTCATTGTGCAGTTCATCAGGTCTACTTTGCAGTGCTATAATAACAGATTATAGTCCATCTGCTTCTTTGTATAATTTGTTAGCCCCTTTTACCCTGTTCATCAATGGTCAGGACCCCTTACAGAACAACCTTTAAGCAGGTATTATTTGAGTGGTGGATCATTTTTAGCACTGCAGTAACTTTGACTTAGAAATGGCATGTTAGTGTCTGTTGTGCTGGTACGAGCTCGGTCCACCTTAGATGCAAAGTTAAAGACGATAGCTCATCTGTTACTGGATAGTTTGCGGTAGTCATTCACTAGTAAGCTTGGATGATGATCAGATTTAGACAAATTATTATCTTCTGCAAAATTTATTGCGATAAACATCATCTTGATCCAAATGATCAATTATGAAGTACACACTTCGAAAAGATGGTTCTTTAGTAAAGAAATGGTTCTATATAGAATCATTATCACTCAAAGCACTCTTTGCATCATTAAAGGGTTCTTTGCCTCGTGAATGGGTTCTTCAGATTGATGGAGAATGTGCTGTAGAGGGTTCTATTTACAACCTTTTTGAAAAGGGTTCTATATAGCACCAAAAAGGGTTCTTCTGCTGTTACAAGCTTGACATCATAACAAGAGAGAAAAGAACCCTTTTTGGTGCTTTATAGAACCCTTTTTAATAAGGCTGTAAATAGAACCATCTACAGCACATTCTCCATCAATCTAAAGAAGAACTATTTAGTTATGCAAATCACGGAAAGGGTTCTCATTTACTAGATTTTGTTTGTTTTATTTGCATATTCTTAAGCGTTCTTTGCCAGAAGGAAAATCTACGTTTTAATAATTTCAAGTAGCGTTCAGAGTATGTACATTAATTCGCTGAGAGTATTCTGTTTGTATAGCCTATAATTAAGTGCAACCTTTTCCATTGTATATATTTTTGAACTAGCCGTAGACTAGAATGATTGAACACAGGGAATGTTTAAATAAAAGTGACTGGGAAATGTGTGGCATGTGTAAAAGAACAAAAGAAAGAAAATTGGCATAGTTGCCCTTTTATTTGATAAAATCAATTATCAGCCCAAGGCCATCCTCCAGTCTTCCTGTCTGGCCACAGGATGCTATTGGCTGAATGTGTTTGGTTGGTGGACCAATCTCAGCTCGGCAGTGACACTGAGTTTGTTTTCACAATGTAAAGGGCAGCTGGACTTTTCAAATGCTGTAAAATCAATAATAAATAAATTAACAAATAAATTATGTTATTAGTCTTTTGATATGACAGTGAAGATGCGTGACTATTCCCCTCTGAAGAAGTTAAACATTATAGAAATATATACAGCTGGACTCTGCAGGGGCTATGTGCAAATAGAACCCATGTGTACGTGTGGGTGGGAGGCCACACACACACAAATTCATCAGACTGTGTGAACAGCTGTGATTTGTTGGGATACTCAATGGGGACTCCAATGGAAATGTTTAATAGTGATGCAACAAGCATAGTATGGAATGCAATTTGCAGCCCTTCAACCTTACAAATTCAGCCATACTGCACACAGAATCCCCTGTCTTTAATCATCTGTCTTTAACTGGTACAAACTGTCCACATTTTTGTTGATTATATCCGTGAACTAGATACAGAAATGTCCTTATGCCAGGGGCACAATGTCTGGCATGATGCCAGCATCAGTGTAGCTAGTCTCTCCCATTTCCACCTGTGCCATTTTACCTCGAAATGTTTCAGACGCCAAATTCCATTGAAGCGTTTCTACTGTTGACTTTTAGTGTGATAATTAATTTGTGTATGTGATTTCTTTCATAATCAGACCCAACAATTATTAAAAACAGTTTATTTTCTGCATAAAATGAATCAACAGTGTTTAAGTGTAAAAGTTTCCATCTGATGCAGTTGTGCTAGAACTTAAATGTTCATAGTTCATAGTTTTTCTTAGTTTATTTAATATTATTGTATACAATATAGATTTAATACTATAAACCAGACAAGAAACAATATTTTTAGATGTATTATCTCCAGATGTATTTCAAATAGTTTGGGGTACAGTTCTATTCATCATTCTGGATGCAACTAAAATTTCCTACTAATTATTTGAATTTATGGTGCTGCTGTCATGGTAGGATATTTTTATACATGTAAAAAATGTTTGTATATTATTTATAACTTGTATATTATTTTAAATTTTTTTATTATTTATTATTTAAAACAATTTTACACACGCCCTGTCAAATGACTTCTGTTGACTTTCTAAGTGAAAATAAACATACATCCTCTACAGAGAACACATTTAGATTTTTTTTTCTGTGTTAAATTCTGCACATTAACAAAATCAATAAAATTATAATCCTGCATGTGAACACTTTAAAATGTTGAATTTTCTGATTCTTCTAAGAATAAAAACAGTTTGTGTTCTTACCTTATTCCTCTCTGTCCGACAGTGTGTGACAGTCTCTCTTTCTCTCTCTCTCTCTCTCTCTCTCTCACTCTCTCTCCCTCTCTCTCTCTCTCTGGATTTGGCCTCGTTTCTCACTGGGGAATATTGGCTCACGTGGAGAGGGTCCATGTTTTCTAAAGGCGTATTGTTTGTTTATCCCCGTGTCCCCTCTCTTCCTCTCTTCTCCCTCACTCTTCTTCTCTTTTCCTCCTCTCTCTTGGACCATAGGGGATGGGTATCCTTTGTTTCTGACCCAGATATTTTACAGCACTCTTCCTACATGCCTGAGAGGGTTGTGTGTGTGCATGCACATGTATGCATGTGTACGGCATGTGTGTGCTTGAGAGAGAGATTTGTGTGTTATCAGTTAAATGTCAGTACAGAAAACTTAACTATTAGCTTTAAAGAGAAATTACACAGATTTCTCAACATTTCTGCAAAATTAAATCATTAAGATGTAAATAAACTCAGAGTGGTTTGATGTGAAATGCCCCAGACTAGAGAAACTTACAGTCAGAATTGTTAAGAGTGGTGATGAGAGGAAGTAGACGTTTGTAGCGTTTACTGCCTCTAAAAGTGGCCTCACAGAAACATATAACACAAAATATTTACCAGTATACTGTCTGATGCCTGAGACATTTTTTTGATCATGGTAGAGAGGTTCCCCCTTAATTTACCACTATTTCACCATTATCAACATAATATATAAAACTCAAAAGATGTGTAGGTTCACTTGTAGTTTTGGACAGTAAATAAAATGGCTATATTTGTGCTGAAGTCATTGTGACCACCACCACTGTAAAGAAATCTGAGTCAGTAAGTTTCTCTATGATGAAATACATCACGTCAAACCACTCTGAATGACTTTACATCTCAATGACTGAATTATGTAGAAATTTTGAAAAATCAGTAAAATTCCCCTTTAAATGAAGCTGCTCTCTGAATCCAAACTCTCACTCACTGTTTCTTACAGATATGCTCTTCAGATGCCGTTCACAGCGCCACAGAGACGAAATAAATGCAAAATAATCTCCCATTCCCAGAACACGTGCACAACTCAAGGTCACATCTGTGCACACAAGTGCCCACAAGCAAGGGTTTTTTTATGCTCTGTAGTTCGCTTTCTGTAACTACCCTCAGAATCACGGCATGCAAAATAATCTTTCACTTTGTGTAATCAAAGGCACCTATATACGTACACCAAAATGATTGATTTAGTTTGAGTTTTAACCTCAAACCTCAAACCTAGTTAAGATATCTAATATGCATGAGAAGAAATCCTACCTTCTGTTTTGCTTGTCGTTTGTTACAGCTGTACTGTTTTCAAATAATTTTAATAAGTAGTTTGTTTCTTCCCATTGACAGACGAGTTTGCTTTTTCTAAGCATTTTTAAAGGGGTTTTATTTTTAAACTCTTGCTAAATTTTTAAGCTATATATTTTTTCATTTATTTATTGATTTATTTTATTTATTATTATTTATTTAAGTGAAAATGGTCTGTTAGTATTTAGCATTTGGTTTTCTCTTGTGGATTTTTCTAACACCTGAGCAAAGGTCACTTGCTAGACATGGCCACCAATGTGAAGCATGTCCTCACGGTCAGCCGCTCAAACACTGCCAGGTCACAGGGAAAGGTCCAACTTAGAAACTGGAAATATTCCTGTTTTTAGTTGTTATTGACAGAGTGAGGAAACACATTTTAATTTTTGTCTTTTTATGTATTTGCAGACATATCCCAATGACTTTGTACTTAAAATATGACCAAGAAAGTGTGTTTTCATAAGCATAAAACAAAAAAACTTTTAGTCCAAACTGCACCTGGTGTGATCAGAAATCTTTTGGATCAATGTACTCTGATCAGGCGTGCTGGGGACAGCAGGGATGGCAGCCACCCAACCTCCCCTCTCTCCGGGTGCCCCATAGTTGAAAAAGCATTGCTAAAGTGCCCTCCAGACTGGCGAAAATGAGAGGAAGTGCCCTATTGGCTGCCATCCACATATGAAAAAAGTGATTGGTGTATTAAACAAATGCAATAAATGATGATGAGGTGCCCTGTAGTGCAAGAAAATTTAAGAATATGTCTTAATGAGTGTCCTTCTAGTGGAGAACACATGATGCAGTGCCCTATAAGATGCCCTTGCAATGGTCTAAACTTGACGTTCCCTATGGATCCCTTTCCCATGGAAAATGGTGCTATTTTGAAGTGCTTTCTATGCCGCTTCTACATGACAGTGTCCCAAAGTGTGCCTTAACAATAGAGAAAATTGGGATGCAGTGCTGTATAGGATACTCCTACAGATGAGAAAACATGATCAAGTACCCACTTGGGTCCTCCTCTAATGGAGAAGTGCCGCTACAGTGGAGAAAATGTGATGTGGTGCTGTATAGGTGCCCTCACAATGGGATAAACTTGACATTCCCTATAGGAGCCTTTCTGATCAAAAAACAGCATGAAGTACCCTCTTAGATGCCTTTACAAGTGAGAAGACATGATGAAGTGCCCTTGAGTTGGAATGCAAAAAATCACAGTGAAGAAAATGAGATGCAGAATCCTAAAGTCTCCCCTGTAGTGTGCACTTTAGGTATGATGACATTCTAGCGGTAGATACTCATTTCCGTTGTTAAAAATTTCCATCTGTTCTATCCATTAACTTTTCAGTTTTAGTCACACCCCCTCTAGAATGAAATAACTGTTAATAGTTCCCTCAGTGTTTTACTTTGTAAGTGTTTGTAAAATAAACACTTCAAATGTTTATAGTTCCCTGTGTGTTTTTATCATAGAGGTGTGGTTATAGTTTTGGATCATCATTGTTAAATTTGATCAAGGATAAAGACTATTTTCATACATGATCCATCATAGCTTTTTGCACACTGGTGGGGCCCATGTTATGCAGTAGGTGCCCTTTATGTTTGTTCCCCTGCCCTTCAAATAGCCATAGAGTCCACCACTGGCTGCATGTTTGATCCTGAGAACACCCACAGTAAAGTACAGAGGTGGGAGCATTTGGGAAGATGATATTGGGCTGATTTTCTGCAAACTCTGCGGTGGTATACGTTGTTGAAGAAGACGTGCGGGAGATTTCAGAGGACAATTTAGTCTCATCAGCCAAGAAACTGCATCTGGGGAGAAGATGGACGTTTCAACTAGACAACAGCCCCAAACATACAGCCAACCTAACTCAACTTGGCTTCTAAAATATGAATTATAAATAATGAAGGTTCTCTCATGCTTTAGCTGATTTTTTACTTGAATCCCATTGAAAATGTATTGAGGATTTTTTAGAGGGACCCTTGTAACCTTGGAGAATTCAGAACAGCTTGCCAAGAGTAATGGGCCAAGATCAGACCACAATGGTGCAAAAAGCTAAATACTTCTTACTCTATATGTCTCAAAGCTGTAATTGCCAACCGTGACTTTGCAATAAAATAGGAATGTTATTCATAGTGGTTTCCGAATACTTTTTCCCCATCAATTTTTTTCAACATTTCTTTGTTTATGCTTAAGAATACATACTATGTTGAAATACAAAATCAAAAGACATATGTGTGAAGTGGATGTATCATCGCTGTCCAAAGGAAAACAAGTATCTCTAAAATGGCAACTTTACAGGAGAGGATGAAAACATTCTTTACTTGTTATGTAACTTAATGTAAAGAGGTTTTATAACTAAATAAAATCTAAGATTTGATTACTTTCACACAAAATAAAGGGCAGCTGGTGTGCTTAAACGATGTAGAAAATTTAAAATTGAATGTCATTTCAAAATAAATTTGAAAAAAATTGAGAGACTTGGTGATTTTCAGATATGCACTGGACGTATATTAAATAACCTTTTTTTGTTATTTAACATACTTAAAATGCATATCTGAATACTTGTTTCTGTTCACTGTGTAAACTCAAGGGACATTTTATTAGAAACATCTACTTTGTGTTCAGTCTATTGCCATGCCATGTTGGTGTTATTCATTTTCTGGTCAATCAGTGGTCACTTTCTGATCACTGAGCACTCTTACTTGGATTTTTTTTACTGGCAGACCATATATTATGACAAAGTTTATAGACACATACTCACTCAAAATTTTATTTGAGGGGTTTTAATAGGGAGTTTGTCCTCCTTTGTTGCACTAACAGCCTCTACTCTTCTGGAAAAGATTTACACTAGATGTTGGAATATTGCTGTGAGGATTTGATTGCATTTGGCCACAGGAGCATTAGTGAGGTCAGGTACTGATGTTGGATGATTAGTTCTGGATCACAAACTGCACTCCAGCTCATCCCAGTGGTATGGGATGGAGCTCCATCGGTCCAGAGAACACAGTTCCACTGCTCCACAGCTGAAGGTTGGTGGGGCTTTATACTACTCCAGTCGAAGCTTGACAGTTGGGCATGGAGAACTTAGGCTCATGTGTGACTGCTCCAAAGCATCCTGTCCTATGTGGGTGAAATTGAAAACCTTTGTCAGCAATGGATTATTTAAAGTAGCTGAATTCACTAATTTCAAAAAAACACACCTGGACATATTTGGGCATATATTGTTGAAGTGACATTGATGTCTGTAAGAGCCCCAGTCAATTCTGTGCTTGATGCACTCATACCAGCACTACACACACTACCATGTCTATGTCACTGCAATTAACATCTGATTAACAATTGTTGTCTGCTCAGAAACTGACCAGTTATAAAACTAATAGAGGGCAGCTGATGAAATACCCAAGAACAGTGTGTATTCGTACATCTGTACAGTAGACATATAAGGTAGGTGTAGCTCATAGAAGTAGTAAGAAGTACAAGATACACCATATGTCCAAAAGTATCCAGAGACCATGTTGAGTGTAATGTTTAGCAAGTAAGGGTAGCCATTAGAGGGCGATCTGGAACTGTAAATGGGCGATAAGAATTTCACCATGAATTTTTTTCCCTATAAGAGAAAACTAGTCAAAGGATATTGAAATGTCAAGTGTCACACAATCTCTGTGATTGTAAATAAATCACTTGTAGTTAGATATTTTCAACTAATTCAGTTAACGTTAATCATTATTACCACATAGGACAAATCTATTCCTCTAGTGTTTGCATGATAGCGTAGAACAAACCCCAAAGGCAGACATGTCAA